CCTCCGAATTCTCCTCTCTGGGCTGTTTCACTAACAAGCTACATGGGATGAGTCATTCATGCCCGTTAGCTGTCGCCATCTTCGTAGCGCTACGCTGAGTCCAGAGCTGAGGGATTAAGTTGAGTGGTTCTGTTGTGTCAGTGTCCTCTGGGGTGGCGATGGAGCGTGGATAAGACACATGCCTTTTGGTGTGAGAGACCCAGATTCTATTCCCCACTGTGACACATCCATCAATGTGTACCTGAAAAAGACACTTAACCCCTAGTTCCTCCAGAGGCGACCTCTGATATATAGCAATTGTAAGTCGCTTTGGATAAAAGTGTAAATGTAATCCTGTCTTTGCCTGCTGAGCTCGGTTCATTGACAAGGTTTCAGTCTAAGTATAGCATGTCAGGTTCTTTGTATGACTGGTATGTGACGGCTGTCTACGCTGCTTACAAATGTGTCAAAACACATTCGGTCAACATCTGCTGCTGTTAATGTGTCTTTAACACGTGTTGTGTTGGAACTGACAGGACACATGTTCCCACCTATTGAACAAATGTCATCCTGAAGGGTGGTGCACTGATCGGAGTGTAACCGGACAGTTGGCTGTTTTGTTTCTTACCAGAGATAGTGTCCTTGTCTGGTTTAATTGCCGCACAGTGGATACTGATGACCTGTTTTTAAGCATCACTTCAGAGATACATAGACTGCCATTGATAAACCCGCCAGAGTCAGGGGTGATCGTGACTACTGATGGATTTATTTGTAAAGTACAGTTCATCTTAAAAGGGAAGTTGAAGGTTTTTATCTATAAAATACAAACCATGCAATCAGGGCCTCAAACCTGCCCAATCGTTGGGAGATGGGTTTTTTGAGAGTTTTGTCTGACCTGTTTGAATCGGGATATAATTTATAAAAAAATATTTCAGCCTAATTATAATGAACTGAAAGGACATTTGGGTTTGTCTGTCGTCATCATGTTGCGCCTGCTGAACTCTGTCTGCCCTGTGAATCTGTTTTTATTCTTTTCTTTAACAGAGTCCTGTCAATCTTAATAATCTTTTACAGTAGAGGAAGGGCCAGCTCATGTAGCTTTTCACTGAGGAAACTGCCTCAATATTACAGGACGTCTAGGGTCTACATCCATGCTTGCAGCTCTGAGGCACAGCAATGCTTTGAGCTAAATACTAACTGTGCTAACGTGCTCACAATGACAATGCTAAAATGCTGTTGCTAAGCAGGTATAATGTTAACAGTGTTCACCATGTTAGGTTAGTGTGTGTTAGCATGCTAGTGTTGCTAATTAGCACTAAACGGCTGAGGGGATTGGGAATGTAGTGACAAAAAACTAATCCTCCTGTGAGGTGTTACTTTTCCATCTCTGCTCAAAGTCAAGAGTGATGATGTGGATAAGAAGTTACAAGGGTTGTAAAATAACTCAACAACCTCTCTGCAGTTCAGTTACACAATCAGTTCCCCATCTGACACACAATCATTTGGCAGTTAAGGCCATAGCTCAGCAGTCACAAAACAGGCCACAGTAAACCTCTTTTAAGCAACAGCAGTCACTCCCACTGCAACATGTGCTGTAAGTGTAAGAAAACATTCATCAGCACTTCTTACAGTGGCAGGTGTGGATCATTATGCACACTTTACCTGGGGAGGTGGAGACGGAGAGGATTTACATTGTGTCATGTTAAATGACGTCTTGGCTGCAGTGGGCTTTCTCCTGATCTTCATCTGGCAGTTGCTCTTGTGAGTGTATCTGGATTGAGAGAGGTCACAGCTTCCAAGCGTCAAAGACCAAAAAAAACGAGTCAAGCCAGTGAAATTACCACATACAGAGACTCATACAGTCAAGAGACACTACTAGTGAAGCGTCCCATCTTAGTCCCATCTTAGTATTGTAATCGTTATTGTATTAATAATTTTACAGCTGTATTAGCAACCTTTAGCGTACGTCCACGTTTTTAATACTTTCAGCAAGCAGTGGATCAATGATCATGATTTGCCGTACTGTCCAGAAACTTTTTTTTAGGCAATAATGACAATGAATGCCTCAGTTACATAAAGTGTTTGATTATTTTGAATCCTATTGGTTTATAAAGTTGATCCTAAATCCAAGAACCTTTAGTCAAAATGTCTCATTTCTTTATGTCACTGTGCCTTATTTTACATTACACTTATTCATTTAGCTGACGCCTTTATCCAAAGCGAATTACAATTGCAGCAACGAGGGGTTAAGTGTATTGCTCAGGGGCACAATGGTGAGTGGGTCACAGTGGGGGATTGAACCCTGGTCTCTCACACCAAAGGGCCACCACCCCATGATTTGATTAATAAAATGGAAATACTATATGGTGACATAGACAGATCTCATTCAGTATATTTAGCAGATGCTTTTGCCCACAGTGACATCTCCTTACAAACACCAGGAGCTCTACCACCTGAGCTACTGCCTCCCATGTTGCCTGCCACACTTCCTAGTACATTCATAGCATTTATTTATGTGTAATGATTAGTTTGGCCAAAAATTATATTGATTATTATTCTAAAGGCAAGCGAACCAGTAAGTAAACTGTTTTCAACATGAAATGCATTATGAGTCATTATTGTCGGTTTCACCACTGGTACTCAAGAGTGATTATCTCTAATTAGCTGTAAAGCTCTACTATAGCGTGATCTCTACCATGGACTCACTGAGTTGGTGTCTGCTTGCTTATAGCTTGTAAATTTCGGGGAGTCTGCTCACCCTCAACGTCACAGAGCCCCTGGTTGGCTCAGTCTTTCTTAGATTACAAGAAGTAAAACTCCCCGTCGTGAGTTGGCGTCACCTTTCTTATCTGTGGCTCACACAGATCTACTGAGAGAGATGAGTCAGCTGTATGTGGAAAGACGGACAAACAAACAAGATGACTACAAAATTACAGACGTAATTAGTCCACTCTTTGTGCGCTCAAATTCCTCTGCGATGACGCGAAAACACATTAAATATTTAAACCGAGCTATTTTCCCAAAGCTGAAAAATTTTCATTGGGCATCCTGTAAAGGAAATATCTGCTTTATGTTTTACCTGTGTAACTATTTTCTGCCTCTGCAGTAAATCCTTTTCCCCACAGACTTAAATGTTTGATCTTAAAAGTAATATAGTGAAATCCGATCTCTAAAACAGGTTAGTTTAGGTAAAACTTTCAATTTTCAAAAACAAGAGGGGCATAGGTTGATCAAAATAGATGTTGTGTCTCTCATATTTTATTTTCTATGTACATCAAATCACATTAATTCCACAGTCTCACATGCCTCAAAACACAGACTGCGACCAATATTTATTGTGCGACAGACGTTGATACACTTGATCACTACTATAAGATCACTGTTCTAGTGCAGTGTAAAGGGACCTTAAACTGCTCATTTTCCAATTTTAGACAATGATTTCAGAGGCTAGCATTCAGGCGCTAACTCCACCTTTTGCTGCTTATATAAAGATGATATCATATTTTCAGATGAGGCTGTAGCTGTAGTCTTTCTATAGGGGAAGGGGAACCCTCCAGGATTTGTAGATTTGAAGCCCAAAGGAAGTAAGAGGTGAAGCATGCAGCAGAAATGCATCCCAATCTTACACTCTGGCTTTGATCCAAAACTTAGAAAACGCATCCTTCCCTTGTTTCCACCCTCAAGATTATATCACTGTGAAAAAGAACAATTAAAAAGCTGTCGCAAATTCACTTGAAGCCAGATGAGCTGCTAAGGGAGACTTGACTTTATACAGGCCGACTGCCACACATCCAAGAGTTATTTACTCAAACGTTGAGAGGCAGGATGTGTTCTTGATGCAAAGAGTCTGTCCCTCCTTTCTCTGTGTCTCGCTCTCCACTGACAGCAGCAAAATCGCAGAGGAAACAGGAAAGGCCTGAGCAGCGTGGTGTCGGGACGGATATCCTCTTTAGGAGGCGTTCCCCCTCCTCCTTCACTTAACTCTCCCTCTCCCTCTCTTTATCTCTTTTTATCATTTCCCCCTCTCAAACCCATTTCGCTCTCAGTGTGGCATTAACTGTTTGGCCGAGCTCGGGAGCATACCAGAGATTTCTGTTCCTCTGTAGTTTTTTTTGGGGGGGTCCTCCTCACATCTGAACTATGTGTTGGCATGGCGATGAGGAGGATGAGGACAACTCGGAGGTGAGGTGTTTCTGGCTTGTTTGTTTGATTTGTGTGTTCCAGTAATAGTGGGGTGAGTAGCTTTGCTTTCTAGTGATTAAGGCGCTGTCTCTCTCTCTCTGGTTGGGCTCCTGGTTGTGTGTCTGGCTTGTTGAGTCTCCTGATCTCACACTGTAGAAATTAGGGAGCTCTTTGAAAAGACACAAGTGAGTAGAAATGCTGACAGGAGTGGAGCCCGGTTGTTCACTGGTACTGAAGTAACTTCTATTGAAGTATCATTGAAGTTCATGCCATTTCTCACCCAGCAGAGGTGGAGCGGTTCATGAGAAAAGGCTGAAAGGGGACAATGGACAGCACAGGTCATGGGACAGATTTGTACATCACTTTTGATTATGTATAGTGTTGAGTTTTAGGCAATTTGGCAGGCAGACTATCCTGAAAATGGTATTTCTAATGGAGCTCTAAAACTCTGCTCTTGAATTATTATAAACACTGGCTGAACAAGATTTTTGTCATTCCTCAGTGCTCCTTCATCTTTTTCTCATCCTCCTGCTTCCTTTTCAAGCATTTTTGTGTTTTACCCAGCTTTTCCCTTTTTTTTTCTCCCCCATCACTATCGTCTCTGCTTTGCTATCTCTTTCCTCCCATTAGTGCCTTATCCTGCTCACCATCTCTTCCTCATCTGTCTACCTCACTCTCAACGCCTCCTCTTGCCAGGCTGACTATGTTGTCATTTAAGCCTCGTATTATCGTGACAAAAGACTTTTATTTTGTTCACAACCACGTTGCCTAACTTGTTTATCCCTTGTCCTCCTTGTTTTTCCCCTTCCCCCTCTCCTTCTCCGTTCCCCCACGTCCAGAGTGACCCAGATGGGCTGTCGGTTCTGGAGCAGCTTGGTCTGGACCAGAACTCGGACTTCTCTGACTCCAGTGTGCAGCAGCTTCTGGACGAGCAGCGCGAAAGGATCCGCAGGGAGATCCGTAAGGAGCTGAAAATCAAGGAGGGAGCTGAGAACCTGCGCAGGGCGACGACCGATAAGAGGAACGCCCAGCAGGTTAGCCGCAGTTAGGCTAAGATCCTCTCAAAGGCTTCATCCACCAGGACTTGTTAGAGTCCAAAGGTCCCAGATATTTTGCTTGTTTTTACCAGTCAGGTTTCTTATTCTTTGTGGAGTAGTGTTTTATAGGTTTACAGCTGGAAATGGATGATCTGAAATAACAAAGACAAAACATCAGTACCAAGGCAGGAATAAAATTCCGCTGTCATGTAAGCGCTAAAGTTTTTAAGTTGCAAAGTCATTGAATTTTACATCAGTGCTGCTGCAGGAAACCAGTTTACTGACTGCTGCAACAGTGGCTGGTGAATCAGTCACATACCAGTTTACAGGAACTGGGTAGATTTGCTGGTATGTTAAGTTCTTATCCTGTTTGTCCCTACAGAAAGGTGGGACTTTTTTAAAGCCCCATGTGACCAGTGTTTTGACCTTCTGTTTACTCCGTAGTGGGCTCACTGAGCACAACTTTCCACTTTGTGAGGCAGGGCAGGAATGTCACACAGGCTCACACAGGCTCACACAGTACAGCCCAGTACAGCTGCTGGGCACCAGTTGCTAGAAGTGAGCAGCAATACTCGAACAGTTAGTGTGTTGACTGCTGAAGTTTCTTTTTTACCCACCTTTTTCCCCTCTGTGTGTGTGTGTGTGTGTGTGTGTGTGTGTGTGTGTGTGTGTGCATCTGGTAAAATGTAGGTCACAACTGCACCTCTCTAAAATGTATGCAAATGACTTTAATTTAGTAAATGATTGTCGCCAAGAAGTATTTCTTGAACACTACCTGCAATCCGCAAATCTAATTTTAAGATGGACGCAAACAACAGCTCACTGAAGATTTGAGAAGCATGTCTTGATAATTAAACAGGCTTCAGTCAGAGATTCAGGATGTGTTCGAGTAAAGTAATTACACCTGTTTTATTAGAGTGAGTGAACACAGAAACACATCATGTTTCATTTCCCTCATTGCTCAACAGATCACCCAGAGGCATTTTTATTAATAGGGAAATTTTCTACAAGGGTCTACTTTGTTTAGTTTGGCAGGTGTGCTGAGGCTTGCAGAATGGGATTATGTCTGAATCACGTGCGTTAAATAAGATTAAGACAGAAAGTCAACATCAAACAATATTGCAGCACCTTGGTGTATACCTGGTGTATAAGTGAGAAAATTGGAGTACAAAAGTTTTTATGCGCCTGCGACCGCAATAGCCGTGGCCGGAGGCATCATGTGCATTGTCTGTGCCTCCCACTCTGATGAATGCGATATCTCAGGAACTCCTTGTGGGAGTGTAAATTTGGCACGAATGTAGACTTGGACTCGAGAATTTATTGATTAGAATTTTGTTGTAAGTGATCAAGGCCACAGTGACCTCAAAATGACCTTGGCACACATTTTTGGCCATAACTTGAGAATTGATGGAGTTATTATGACAACACAGAGATTTTGTAGTTTAAGAGGAGACTACAATAAAGTGAAAACAGTTTTTACCCAAAAGATCAAAAGTCAGCTTCACTGTGACGACATACAGCCAGGGGGCAGTAAATCTATTTTAGAAATGGTTTAAGGTCAAAAGCCTTTTTTTCTCTCGTGACATTATGCCTGTGTTGAGGATTTTTATGTCCAAAGTTTTATAATTTACTGCTTGGTTGATACACTGAAGTTTTCACAGACAAAATACAAACTCTTAATTCTTTCTGCGAAACCAGAAATAATGTTCTGCTGTATTTGTTCTTGCCTGCAGGTGGACAGCCAGTTACGGTCTTCTAACCGCAGGCTGGACAACCTGCATGCTCAGCTGCAAGAACTGGACGCCCACATTGTTGTGAAGGGAGGAGAGGAGAATAAAGGTATGTATCTACCTCTTCCTTCGGCTCCTTTGTCTCTGATACAAGTTTCAGATTAGTGATTAGTACTGCTTTGTGGCAGTATACAGTTAACAGGGTTTTTGCATCAGTTGGTAAAGTACTTGTCAGGTATTAAGTCCACCATATACCATTGTTTTATCAATATTTGGCACAGGAAAAACTTGCAAGGAATAGTATAGTAGAAAGAATAGTATTTTTTTTTGTTTTCAAATGAAAATTATTTCTGAATGAATGAGCCTTTCTCTGCTTGAGCATGAAGTTTAAATAATGTTGGACATGAATCATGGCAGATAATAAGCTTACTCATATTTATTAAGTAACTTGGGAATAAAGATTGTAAACTCTTGTTTTAGTGAATTTAGATTTTCTCTTACACATTCTTGATTAATGATGCCCAAGACTTCTGAGCAGGGGAAATATAATATTGCCCCATGATTCATCTTTTCCTGTTCCATCGGGATGGCACAGCATTTGGAGAAGCCAAAATACTGCTTCACTCTTGCTGTCTGTAGCCAGCTGGTAAATTCTGCAGTAGATCTCTAATCATATGGACAAAAGTAACAGAGTCATCAAGTCCGTTGCTGCTGCTGCAAAAAAAATTGTGCAACAATATTATATACATGAAATTCCCCTGACAGTATTTTCACTTTAGAGCACGCCATGTGAACCCTCATCTTGTTCCTTTTTATATCATCTCCAACCTTCTCCTTCCCTCCACAGATGAGTGTCCTCAGTCTCCAGGGGCCGAGAGTCGTACGTCAGCCCACAAGGAACGCATTGCTGCCCTGGAGAGACAGCTCAACATCGAGCTCAAAGTCAAACAGGGAGTTGAAAACATGATCCCCATCTATGCCAATGGATCCACCAAGGTACACGGCGTTGACTTAATCCGCACTCACACACACACACGCACACATTCACATTCACACACCTGCAAACTGCTCAACAGAACAATGAACAGGGCAGATACCATGTAAATGTCAAAGTGGTTCAGAGAATGAGATCCTCATCTGTGCTAAAACATCAACAAGTGTAAGGACATCACTTTAATATAGATATACATGCACATTTGTTTGTTTTATGTTTTTTTAAATTGTTGTCATTGTTTTAAAGTATTTTACATGTCCTTGTGAAAGGTATCTTGTTATATGTATAGTACAGTTGTTCCTGTTTTTAGTGTATTTTATGTAGTTGTGATAACACCTGCCCAGGGACTACAGTCGAACATTAGCCAAGCTGGCTAAACTGACACATTTACAGAAATGTTTATCAATGTGCAGTGTCTCTGTAAACTTAAACTCTATAAATAAATAAATAAAAATAAACACAGGGAATGTAAAGAGCATTGCATAGGGTGGGGTACACATAGTACCCCACCTCCCACAGCTGGCTGATAACTGACATTGTGTGTCTGTGTGCATCTTCATGATCTATAACCTTGCAATCTGCTGACTCAGATGATGATCTCTAAATGTGCACGCACACACTTAATCCCTTGATTGCTTCAAAAATCGCCTCCCCCTTTTGCATGCAGCATCTGTTTCACCTTTCCATTTGACCTTGCTCTCATACCTCCACTTCCCTTTCTGTTAACGCCCATAGCAATCAATCAGCAGAAAGGAAAATGTTCTAGTATTATGATATTTACCGTCCTGCTTCCTGTCATATGACTTGCCCCTTGTCTTGTCTCTGCTCCAACCAGGATAAGAAGATGCTGCAAACCGCCCAGCAGATGCTGCAGGACAGTAAGACCAAAATTGACATCATCCGCATGCAAATCCGCAAGGCTGTGCAGGCCACCGAGCACAATGATGACACACAGGGTAAGTTGGTACTAAGTTTATGATGTGGTGCCAGTAATGCAAAACAAGTGTGGTCGTGGTTTTGAACTAACACCACCACAAGTTCAAAAAGTTCCATTCTAAAATAAGTTTTCGATCAATACATCAAGAAGGGTTTCTCACATTTGTAGCTTGTGTATTTAAGAGATGATAACATTTAAATATTGTTTGCAATATTTGGTTTGTGGCTGTGAAAGGTTAATGCTCTGGGATTTAGGTCTCTCAAAAAGTAGTTGCAGATGCGTAGCCAAGGTAAACAGTCCTATAATAACATGTACATAAATATAACACTAATGATTATGCTGTCAAAGGAAAGTGAGTCAAACTGTTAATTTCAGACGCTGTGTGGTTTATGACCGTGGTCAGCTGGCAGTGACAGGATGCTTTTGGCTGCGTCTTTCTCATCTCTCTATCTTCACGTGCTCTGCGGTCTTGCTTTCTGCAGCGGCAGACAGCAGACACGCAGTAGCATAAACAGATCAATCAATAAAGAGCCGGCTCAGTGTTCTGCTTTAGTTTTGTAGGGAAGAAGATGAGGAGGACAGGACTGTGTGTGAATCGGGTGGACACGCACGTCAGGGAGTGATACAGCACCTGTGAAATGGCCCACCTGGCACATTACCACAATCAAATCAAATTCACATAGAGATGCATAAAAAATTAAAACCTCCAACAAAAGGACCGGCAGATGAAAAGTCTCTCTTTCACACTCACAAACATCATTATTGTCTGGGCAGGTGATTGCATGTATTAAATGCTCAGAAGTATGGTCATTATATGCTGTGGCAGAGCGATCAATGGCATTTCAGGGCAGGTGAATGAGCGTCTGTAGGTCGAGTGCTGTGGACCATTATGGCCCCTCTGCTGGGAAAACAGGCCAGTTGATTACAGTCACAGGAGGTGGATGGTCTGCTAAAATGCAGCAGGCGAGCAGGGAGAGCGCAATGGGAGGGAGCCTCTAATGGCAACTTCATCACTTCAACATTTCCTTGTTTTGTGCTGGTGTCCCACATGTGGTCTCTGGATCTTTCTTGGTTATCCTGCATCTCTCCCTTAACCACATGCACGCACACACGCACACACAGGGGCTGTGTGTATAGTGTACACAGACAGACAGTCTCCAGGCACCACACCCGGTGGAGGGGTCATCTAGCAGGGTCTATGCTCCAGGCAGAGCACCTTATTAGGAGATAAAAGCATCCACATCCATCTCCTAACCCTACCTCCTTCTTTTCCTTTTCTTCTCCTGTCTCATGCAGAGTTTTCAACAGCTCATAAGTCAAAAAAATCTTTTAATCACTTCTCTGTGTTCTTTTGCCCTTCTTCTTACAGAACCTGGTAGTCAAATCCACCTTTTATTAATGCAATTTTTCCGATTGTCCTTTTCTTTACCTCACGCCTCCTCTCCCCATATCTGTGTTTGTAACCCACTGTGAGAGGCTGCTACTGTGCCATTAAGCTAACCACTTAGCTGTAATTGATCTTCACAGGGGCTACTCTGCGGCTGATACATGACGTTTTTTTCCAAGCAAGGGAGCTTGAGTATGTTTTCCCTTTTTATGAGTGATAGCATTGCACCTACTGTTCAGCTTTAATGTAGCTACCATACCTCTAGTCTTTCCATTAAAGGGGTAAAATATCCAATTATTAGTGTTTGATCAGTGGCGCAATGGTTGATTTTTAAGTGGCTGTTAGTCAACAGTGGAGAGCGACTGGAAATATGAAAGTGTATATAATGTCACTTGTATATATTTGTTCTGTTTTTGTTGTCAGTATGTGATTTTTCTTAGTTATTCAAGTTATTCATATGATTTCTGTCTCTCCTCCTAAAAAATGTAAGCAGGTCTTCATTTATTAAACCATTTATAATAATGGCAGTTTTTTTATATTTACTTTTTTCACATCACGGTCAAATAGGTGGCTATTTTCCAAGAATAGCAAACAAAAAAGACAAGAGGTTTGTGTTGTAATGTTGTTGTTGTTGTTAGTATTACTTTATAAATTTTCCATTCCAATCTTGTGGTGGTAGCTGTCAGCTGTGGTTAAAAACAGGAAATATTGACCAACAAGGTATTCTTACTATAAAATCCTATGAAATCTTAAGAATTGGAGATATCACTCAGTTGTTTGTTTTCTCTGTTGCTTAACAAACGTGTAACTTGATGTTAATGCCAATATAATTTCATTTATATCTCCATAATAAATTTGTCACTAAGGCAAACTTCAAAATAAAAACGGACAACAGAGTTTTTTTGCTTTTAAAGATGGGAATGAGAGAGCCATTTGGAAATAATGTTGTTTACAGAGGCTGCTTACCTCCCCCCAGGCGCTGCTGATGTTCTTTTTTTCTGACTCTTGTGTATTGCATGATGTGCATTAAGGCATTAACCTAACTTAGTATGCCCGGGGAGTTCCCCATAACACACTGCTGCCAAAACAAGAAACTGTGGTCTCAACATGCACCGGCCAAAATCGAACTATAGAATTAAACTGAATCAAAGGTGCAGGTGTGAAAAATCGTCAGTGATGTAATTCGTCCGTCGCAACGCTGCAGGTAACCAGGACCTCTGTGGGGTGGAGCTGCGTATTGAAGAGCTGAGGCATCACTACAGGGTAGAACATGCTGTCGCCGAGGGGGCCAAAAATGTGCTCAGGCTCCTGGGGGCCAGCAAGGTCCTGGACAAGAAAGCCATGTCTGAGGTTAGACTGAAACACACAGACATATACACACATACACATCCTGCAACAGCAAATCCTCATCCTTTCCTTAATTTACTTTGCAAAGTTGTGAGAGACTTATAAAACTTATTTTATGCTATCCAACACCCCTATAATGTTCTATTCGTTTTCCATCTTTAATACTTTACTGTACAATTTTTATAGCATCTTGACATTATACAGTTTCTGAATGTCAAGTTTTCGTTTTTATGAGTCCAACAAAGACAGAAGATACTAAAGGCAATGTAGCACCACCGAGCGATTGTCTCGCAGATATTTCACAGAGCAGCTCAAATTACTGTTTGCGCACTATTCAACATTTGAGACACATCTTCACAATAGCAGCTGCAAAATGACATGTCATCAAAATAAACCCATCTGTGCAGGTGTTTTTGATAAGCACTAATGATTCACTGGTTCATTCATCGTGTGGTGAGATTTCTGCCTGTTAAAACTTTCAACTCTGTACAGTTTTGGAACAGAAACCCATCACATACACATCATTTTTCATAATGAGCAAAAATTGAAAATAAATTCACATGCCCAGCCTAAAAAGTGTAATTTTTGCTCTGTGTCGATGCTCTGTAGGCGCAGTCTCGTCTGAGCGAGGCGTCTCAGCGGTTAGACCTGCTGAGGGACTCTCTTGACCAACGTGTGGCAGAGCTGCCGGAGGACCATCCAAAGGCCATCGTCATCAAAGAAGAGCTGGTCCTGGCCTCCTCTCCTGCCTTCAGCTCTCGCCATGGCGCCCCCTACCACCACAACCAGTACAGCACCCTCAACAAGCCCTCACCTCTCACAGGTAGGTAAAATTAAAGAAAACAAAGCAATGCTGCACAAAGTCAAGCAAGCTTCCACCACGTGAAGTCATCATACTGTATAATGTTATAATGATACAAACAGAGAGGGAATCACAAGCTCTGTACATCCTGCAGCAATGAAAATATGAATATACACAACAGGTCCAATTTAATGTATTCCAGGGTTAATATGAGCACAGAGGCTTACATGAAATCATTTAAGACATACTAACACTGTGTAACAAACTACTGAGCAGTGTCGTTGAAGGCCCTAGTCTAGTGGCTGTGGAGCTATCTGATTAATCCAGGTAACATGAGGAGATTTTCTCTCCTGCTGTTTGAAATACAAAAGTCAAATGTATTGGTAAATTTTTGGCATTATATTCTCACCTCCTGGTTATAATATAATATGGGTAACACAGACATAATATATACACTGTACTAGTTAATCTATACAGTTGAGTTCTTATAAAATCTGTGATGTATGGACTGGCTTTTGTACCAAAGATGCATTTGGTATTGATAACACTGCTAGTAAATTGTAATAACAAAACACTGCTGTAGTAAGCAGCACAGATCATTTTAACCTCAAAGGCTGAAAACGCTACAGTGGAAAGGAAAATTTAGCATTGTGACTCAACTTTTTTGTGGCAGTGTGGTTATCCTGTGCTAAAACATAAAAAAAAAAAAGAACGTGTGCTGCACCCACAAAAAAACAACAACCTTTGATTGGTTTTGTAGATCTTTTCACACACAACTCTGTACAGTAGAGGGACTTGTGATTGTGCACAGATACTGAGGATGATACATTCATTTGGCAAGAAGAAGTCAGACCAAGGAATTTGGGAGACATCATTGATTTTTAGTCCGGTGATGCTGATTGCTATTTATGCCCAATCAATTATGGCTGTTTGTGGAAGAGGCCATTAGGCTTTTGAAAGTGCCCATAATCTTTGTAAATCAATTTGTAAATGCACATCTATTTTTGTACTCACAGAGATTTTTAGTCGTGAATTATTTATCTGTCCTCTGGTGTTTTTTGGCCTGTAGTTGGTTATTCCTGACTTTGTTTTCCTCCGTCTTCAGGTACCTTACAGGTGCAGCTGCTAGGCTGTGTGGGGTTGTTGGAGGTGGTCCCAGGTCGCAATAAAGGGACAGCTGTCATGCTGCCCTGCTACAGCCCCGGAGACACCAGGTCCTTCATGAGAGGCAGCAAGGGACTCTACGGACGGAGCGGCTCAGTCAGCGGCAAGACACCCAGCAAGACAGAAGAGCTCTCATGTGAGTGTGTGTGTGTGTGTGTGTGTGTGTGTGTGTGTGTGTTAGGGCTGGGTGGCATATCAGTATAATGAGGTATACCGATGGCCCCACCCCTCCCTCTGCATCTGCGTGCAGCCGTCTACTCACAAAGTCTCAACAACATGGAGGAAGACACAGTGCTGAAGACCTGGCTTGTAAAAAGAAAAAAACTATGGTTCCATTAGTGTTTCCCATTCATTCACTTTACTACGGGCCGCCCAGATTAGGTGACACATTGTAGCATTTTTCAGAGAAACACAACTCGCGACACCGTGGATATTTTAAAAGAGCGGACCAGGTAAAGCGCCAGTGAACACACCAGTCAGATGTCATTCGTTAGCTATCACGTCGGTTTTGTTATGATAGGCTACTTTGTCAAAACGCCTCCTCAACATGCGGTGCAGCTGCTGCTGTGAACAGAGTTGGAAGAGTCCAGAAGACAAGTTCTGGGGGGTTTTCGGCGATTTTATACAATGTAGCCTACTACTGATGGAGAAAGCCACCGGATCACACTTAAAGGGAGAGAGAGACAGAAAGAAGCGGGGCATGCTGACGTGTTTGCAGCAGAGGTACGTTAGGTCTGTGAGTGTGAAGAGAGCTGAAGGAGGCAGATTCAATAAGTGAGTGACAAGTATAATTAAAATGGTGAAATAAGAAACACGCTAATTTACTACAAATAGTAAAAACATGGTCACTAAAACAGACCCCTCCCCCCCAACCCACTTAACAGAAAATACCTTTTATACCGGAATTCTGCCTAAAAGTACCGGGATATGACTTTCTGGTCTATATCGCCCAGCCCTAGTGTGTGTTGGGCTTGGTTTCATCTGGAAATGTTCAGTGCAAATAAATGCTCACTTATATATAATGTTGTTCAAATGGTTTAAAAATAAAACCACTTAACATGGTGCTCTTTAATGTGCCTCATTAGGTTTAATATGATGTATGTGGGGGTTTTTTGTCACAAACCGCACACTGTCGCGTTCAAGGAAATATAGCAATGTAGCAAGTCTGTATAAAGTCTATTAACTTGCTTTCACTTTAGGTTGGTGAGTTTAGCTCTTGTAGGTCACCCATAATGGCACAGCAACATCAGCAATTTTAGCTGAATTACAACGATACCCTGAGTAGGCAGTTCACAACCAGCTTATTTTAAGGTCTTGCACTTTCTGCAGTGTCTCCAAGGAAATGAATGACAATCATTAATCAATACTTAAATTGTATTAATGTGGCATGCGCGTACAGTTGCTTTCATTTCTACTGTGGTCAGGGTTAAAGTGCCAGGTACTGTAAAGGCCTGTCACTTATGGAGGAGGTCACTTTTTCTGATTGTCTGTTTGTGTGTTTGTGCAGCTGAGGTGAGTGCTGTGCTGAAGCTGGATAACACAGTGGTGGGACAGACAGCTTGGAGGACTGTGGGTGAACAGGCTTGGGACCAGACCTTCACTGTGGAGCTGGAAAGGGTCAGTACATATTAACACACCTAACCACATAAAGTGCTTTTAAGTGTCCATTTAATAAAGTAAACGTGCTGGCGTGTGTTTTAGTCGAGGGAGATGGAGATTGCAGTTTACTGGAAGGACTACCGGTCGTTGTGTGCTGTGAAGTACCTGAAGTTGGAGGAGTTCCTGGACAACCAGAAACACAGAGTTCAGCTGGAGCTGGAGCCTCAGGGCCTGCTGTTGGCCGAGGTACACACACACACACACACACACACACACACACACACACACACACACACACACACACACAAACTATGACACACACACAAACTATGACACACACACACAACAACATAAAATGGGAAAGAGGACAGCCACATGCAAAGGTGTTGACACAGATATACATGACATCCATGTGTGCAAGTGCTATAAATACACACAAAGATATTCAAATGTGTGCATGTACACCTGCCCACACACAAACACAAGCTGTCACATGCACCTGTGCTGAAAAACACTTTGATATATCATACTTGAAAGGTCCAGTTGTCTCCGTATGATGTCTGAAAATAAAATGTGGCTGTGCAGTTTTCATGGTGTGTGTGTGTGTGTGTGTGTGTGTGTGTGTGTGTGTGTTCTCCAGGTGACCTTCTTCAACCCGGTCATTGAGAGAGCTCCTCGCCTCCAGAGGCAGAAGAAGGTCTTTTCTAAGCAGCAAGGTGAGGAAGAGACAGCGGAGAGGAAACAGAAAAATATGCTGTTCTTAAACATAATTACACAGTTTTTCTATCGTGCAGTCTTAATGAAGTTTACACTGATGCCCTTTTTGGAATAAACAAACACCTTAAAATGGCTTTATCATAATGAGGAAAATGAACATAACCAGAAGGGAAGAAATGTTGGTTCTAATCATTACACTATTTTCATTTAGACCACAGCTCCATCTAGTGTTGAATAAATAATCCTGTTTCACTGAGATTAATTTGTTAATGAAGCATTTAACTTAACAAAGATATAAAGAACTTCACCAAACAAGATTTTTTTTTTTTTTTTTTCAAAAAAACCTAAAGAGAATTTAAGCAGAAACACAATTTGGCCAAAGCCTGGAAAGGTCACTTTCCCTCGCTTTCTTTCCCGTCATCATGGATGTTTTTAAATATCATTAACTTGAGGAGTGTATTCCAGATTCCCTTGGGACATCTGTTAATATTAGGAAATGATTTTAACTGTAATCCATCCCTACAATCCTGACTATTATAACGGGACATTTTTCCTCTTTTCAAGATTTCTATTACTAGATGACTAGATTTCCAAAACAATGAACACACCATTGAAGGGACACAAATTTTATTTTAAAGAAAAAGTTCTTAATTAGGCAGGGGGCTGAGGTGCGATCTTATACTGGACAGCAAATATCTACAAAAGAAGATGTGATAATGGTGGGAATTTAACTTTTTACTTCTCTCGTGAACCCAGGCAAGGCATTCCTGCGCGCTCGTCAGATGAACGTGGACATCGGGACGTGGGTGAGGCTTCTTCGAAACGCCATTCCAACCGTAAACAACTCAGGAACCTACAGTCCCAGTGCACACAGCCTCCCAGCGCTCAGCTCTGGGTGAGACACACACACACATACAGCAAGCACAAACAAACGTGCATAAGCCACACAGATGCAAACACTCCACTTAATTGTACTGGAGAATCACTATTTTATAGCTGTCAGTCAGACTTTGCTATCAAACAGAGCAGCACCCCTTGAACCTTTTTCCTTGTGTTTCCTGGGAAAGTATAAAGCATGTGATGCTGTCTTTGTCTCACTGTCTAACAACCCGTTTGTGTTTCACTCTGTTCATTTCGTCCGTCTGCATCAACATGTTGGTGTGCTTGTTTGTGTCCGTGTGAATTTTTCCAGGGAGGTCTCGGTGGAGAAGTTGAGTCTGGACAGCGACTCTCCGATAAGAGGCGATTACAAGAAAGACATGGACACACACACCCCGGTGAGACAGACAGAGATAGAGGAAGCCCAGGGAAATGGTGTGTGTGTGGAGGTCGGGGGTGGGGGGTGTACAGCAGCATCCATCAGTTCAATCCACAACCACTTCTCCCTCTGTTAATGGTGTCACTGTCCTCAGAAGCACAATTATGGAGAAGTTGAAAGACAAAAAATGTTCTCTAGTGGGCTTGAAGAGGAAAATGGCTCTGTATTTGATTAATTTATTTCATTTTCATCACCCACCCTAGCTCTGTAGGCCCATAGTTAATCCAGAAAACTACTACTGAAAAGGGTTCATATGTTCACAACACACAGAAAGCAGGTGATTTGTGTGATTTAAATAGCTGCCTGTGGAGATTATGGATTGCTTTTGGGATTTGCACATCATCAGTGTCTATAAAAACTGAGCCACCCTGCATGTGTTTCCAGCCCATTGGTTTTAACATATGGAGCAGGGAAAAAAAAGTGAATCCTACTCTCTGCAAAGATGTTTGTATGTCACGTCCAAACTGTTGTCATGAAATCACGTGTCTGTTGTCTTCCATCCTGTGTCCTCTTACCTCTCTGTCTCCGCATTTCTCTCTGTGTCTTTTCCTTTGTGTCTCTTTCCTCATATGTCCCCCGTCAGGACCGACTGCCAGTCATCGAGCCCTTCTCCCCCCCAGACCTCACCCCCGAGTGCCCTGTCCGAACCCCGTCTGTTAGCAGGTACACACACGTCGGCACATAAACACCACATCACCACTTAATGCCTTTTTCTCAGAAGACATTTTGACATGTCACTGTAGGTGAAGCACAGGTTAAAATTATGACATTAATGATGGCTGAATTGCATTTAGCTGCTTCAGTTTCACGGCTTACTGGGTAGCTTGAATAGAACAGAGCCATTGATAATGTTATTAGTAACACCTGAGCTTTTCCTACTGTGACAAGTCAGCCAGTCTGCTTTCCTTAAGCATGTCTGCTATAACAAATGATGCTGTTTTTAATCTGCTATTAATCTGTTTTGGTATCCACTATAAATGACCCGGCTGAACGTGTGTGTCCGTTTCTCCAGTAAGCAGAGGAAAGGTCCTCTGTCTCTCCAAGACTTCAGGCTGATCGCTGTGTTGGGCAGGGGACACTTTGGGAAGGTACAGTTTAGTGAATGATTCGCTTAGTTTTTATATGAATGAAACGTAACTTGGAATACACAAAGAAACTGTGGGCAAACAGGTCAGTAATAAGACAAAGAACAAAGGGAGGAGGAGAGTTCTTGAATTTAAAATGTACAGCATGTGCACAGATCTAGGCACTTAATGGCAGAAGACCTACGAAAGGGCTTGGACAGGCAGCTTCTCTAGATTGCAGTGTGTTTCTAAGGCCACATCAATAGGTTTATGCTGTTGTATTTCTAGAAATTAGAAAAAACAACAAGTGACTGATAATTTTCCACAACCAGAAAACCAGACATACAAGACAGTCGGTAGAATGCCTTTTTGTGCTCTTTCTGACATCAACTGCCTGTGTTTGTGTGCATATTGAGCACATTAAATCATATCAGTGTTCTGCATTTATTGGCTTTCTTCCTTTTTCTCTTGTTTCATAGACATTGATTATGAGCATTAAGAAAAATGCTGAAACATTTTAAACAGCAGTCATGTAAACAAGAAAAGAGAGTTCAACTTGCACGTTTAAATCGTGCAACCAGACCTTATTGTAATGTCTTAATTCATTTAAGAAAGTTAAAATATCTCTTCTCATCAACCCAATAAGCATGCACATCTAGAATCCCTCAGTTCACCTTTACAGGTATTGTACACTTTTAATAGTGAAACAAACTGAATTGTCGCTGCATGTGTCTGTCTGCAGGTGTTGCTGTCAGAATACAAAAAGACAGGCACAATGTACGCCATCAAAGCCCTGAAGAAAGGGGATATCGTAGCCCGGGATGAGGTGGAAAGGTGTGTCTTCATGTGTTTATTGCTGTGTTTGTGTGATAGGTTGCTGTTTTTTGGTTCTTTGAGCCCCAATAATACATTGTATTATGCATTCACTGTATTTATTCTGTGCTTCTGCGCCTTGAATCACCATGATTACAGTTCATCAAACAAAATAATTGTGTAAATGTCTCTCATTTTTCCCTCCAATCTTTTCTTATCTTAATCTTTAATTTTTCTCTCACCTTGTGCGTCCTATGGTCTTTCTCCGCTTTCCACCTCGTCCTTTACTTCCCTACAACGCCCGTTTGTCTCTCTCCCTTCCATCTCACTCACCTCCTTCTCTTGTTCCTCCTCTCCACTTTTTTCTCTCCTTCCCCTTGCAGTCTGATGTGCGAGAAGCGTATCTTTGAGATTGTGAACATGTCACACCATCCCTTCCTGGTCAACCTGTTTGCGTGCTTCCAGACTCCAGAGCATGTGTGTTTTGTTATGGAGTACACAGCAGGCGGCGACCTGATGATGCACATCCACGCAGACGTCTTCACAGAGCCACGGGCCGTGTACGTAATGATGCGAATATGTGTGTTTGATAAAGACTAAATGCTAATATTATGTTACTTTTACCAATCCTTTAATAGTGCTATTGTGTTGAACTGCATTAAACTAAAAGGTGTAGTATTTTCGCCCTTCCCTATATATAGGATATTGTAAGAACTCTCACAGATAAATGCTCAAATCTCATTAAAGGCCCTGCACACCCCCACAGGTGTTTTTAGTTATTCTTTCCAATTCAAGTTGGGTAAAGCTATGCTGAGAGGCCGCCAGACTCCATGTACAAATAAGATTGATAAAAGTGTAAGTTGCCGCTCCTTAAGATGCAAAAAAAGCCAACAGGAGAAAGAGGGAGATGTCAGTCAAGCTCATTCTGTAAACACCCGCACATTCCTGGAGAAAAGGTGCAATCATGTGAAATCATCTGTGTGGGTTTACAATGAGTGTGCAGGTCCTTTTTAAGGAAGTAAAGTCTGGCTATTTCTATGGTATCCATCAACTCATTCACTGTCATTTTCAGTAAACATGGCCAAAATGAAAAGCCTGACACACATGTAGGTACTATAGTGAAGTAGTAGTGGTGTCCATTTTTGTCTTTTTAATTTGTTCACTTTACATTTTATTCACTTCTTATTAAGTTAGTAATAATGTTTCTTTGGTTTGACTTCAGGTTTTATGCAGCCTGCGTAGTTCTTGGACTCCAGTTCCTTCATGACCATAAGATTGTATACAGGTCAGTGAAAGCCACACGCACCTCTTTCCTTACACGATAGTTGGAGTGTGATGATTTGAGATTTGAGACATGGTGCATTATCCTGCTGGAAGTAGCCATCAGAAGATGGGTACACTGTGGTCATAAAGGGATGGACATGGTCAGCAACAATTCTCAGGTAAGCTGTCGCATTTAAACAAGGCAATTGGTACTAAGGAGTCCAAAGTGAGCCAAGAAAATATCCCCCACACCATTACACCACCATCACCAGCCTGAACCCTCGATACAAGGCAGGATGGATTCATGCTTTCATGTGGTTTACGCCCAAGTCTGACCCTACAACCTGAATGACGCAGCTGAATTCCAGACTCATCAGACCAGCCAACGTTTTTCCAATCTTCTATTGTCCAATTTTGGTGAGCCTGTGCGAATTGTAGCCTCAGTTTCCTGTTCTTAGCTGACAGGAGTGACAATCGGTGTGGTCTTCTGCTGCTGTAGCCCGTCTGTTTCAAGGTTCGACGTGTTGTGTATTCAGAGATGGTATTCTGCATACCTTGGTTGTAACAATTGGTTATTTAAGTAACTGTTACCTTTCTGTCATCTTGAACCAGTCTGCCCATTCTCCTCTGAACTCAATAAGGCATTTTCCTCCACACAACTGGCGCTCACTGGATATTTTCTCTTTCTTGGACCATTCTCTGTAAACCCTAGAGATGGTTGTGTGTGAAAATCACACTAGATCAGCAGTTTCTGAAATACTCAGACCAGCCCGTCTGGCACCAACAACCATGCCACTTTCAAAGTCACTTAAAATCCCCTTTCTTCCCCATTCTGATGCTCTGTTTGAACTTCGGCAGAGTTGCTGCCATGTGATTGGCTGATAAGCTATTTGTGTTAACAAGCAACATGTGTACCTAATAAAGTGGCTGGTGATTGTATATATGTCTACTGAAGAAGAAAATGACAAAAAAAACATCTTTCCATCCAAATCTGTGCAAAAGATGTTCGCATTTAACTAAAAGCACCGATGTACATGAAGTACAGCCTTACAGAGCAGCTTGCAGGGCTGTAGACTCATATTATTCATTTTTTGTATTAGTCTTTTAAACTCCTTGTGTACTCTCAGCTGTGCTCGGTGAAATACTCTCAAGAGACCTACACCTGTTTAATCTTTCTTCCAGAGACCTCAAGCTCGACAACCTGCTGCTAGACACAGATGGTTATGTGAAGATCGCTGACTTTGGACTGTGTAAAGAAGGTGGATATCGATGTTACTGACCGATGGGCTCATCTTATTTTTCATGTGACATCTGAGCCCAGTCTGCTGGCTGCTCTAATTTCGCTAAAATCGATGCACCACAAATGTTTTCATCTTTCTGCCTCTGTAGGAATGGGCTTCGGGGACCGGACCAGCACTTTCTGTGGGACTCCAGAGTTTTTGGCCCCAGAGGTACTAACGGATACATCCTACACCAGGGCAGTAGACTGGTGGGGACTGGGGGTCCTCATATATGAAATGTTGGTGGGAGAGGTGAGAACTCGCATAATCTCACATACACAAAGCTCTTACGCTGTCCATGGGGTGATAGATCACAAACATGTTCACTGTGGTTAACACCTTGATTTGTGACATTCAAATCTCCAGAATCAATTGCATTAAAGTGTGTGTGTGTGTGTGTGTGTGTGTGTGTGTGTGTGTGTGTAGTCTCCATTCCCTGGGGATGATGAAGAGGAGGTGTTTGACAGCATTGTGAATGATGAAGTCCGCTATCCTCGCTTCCTGTCCACTGAGGCTATCGGCATCATGAGAAGGGTAAGAAAACACACGCGTAAACACCCTTTTCTCCTTCTCTTGCTGATTTTATCACACATTAACAATACATGACAGATGCTGCACATACATATGAAGTACTTATCAGTCACCAGCGTAGGTGACAAACTGACACATCCACTTACTCAGTCACAGACGTCACACATTGACATTTGGCTGCAATATCCCCTTATAAATTCTTATTCTTGCGTGTGTGTTATCGTGAGCAGCTGTTGAGGAGGAACCCGGAGAGAAGACTGGGCTCTGGTGAAAAGGATGCAGAGGAGGTGAAGAAGCAGCCGTTTTTCAGAGTAAGTACACTTGTGCTGTTTTTTTTATATATTTGGGGAAGAGCAACCGCTCAGCTGTTGATGTGTTGAGGTGTGCTGGACCTGCCGCTCACCTTGGCAGTCTCTGCTTGTATAATTCCTCCCTGCACTGTTTAAAACTGATCTGCTGGGGCGCAGTTTAGCTAAACTTGTAGAGCACGCAGCGCAATTACAAGGCTGTTTCCTTTCAACAGCGGCCCTTTGCTGCATGTTGCCCCCCCCCCTCATCCCGTCCCGTCCCTCGTTTCCTGCCTCTATCCACTTTCCTATCTCTCCAATAAAAACTGATCTACTGACCAAATAGCATAGACTATTGCCCAATCTTCTTCTATATACTTTTTTTATGTGAGGCAGCAGGAAATATTCAGTTTGCACCTGCAGCAGGTCATCTATTAAATGCAGGGTTTGTCGGTTCAATCCCCCCTGTCCACATGTCCCAGGTGTCCTTGAGCAAGACATTGAGCCCAGGCGTGATTAAAGCAGACTATCCCGTGCCTGTGGTAAAGCAGCTCTAGCTGACCTTCTTGACACCTTGAAGGATGTATATGCAAAACTAAGAAAGATCAGCAGATTCTGAATCCACTGTTCTTAAACTAAATTTCTCGTCTCTTTCTCTTTTTCTTCATCTCCCCTCAGAATGTGGACTGGGAGGCATTGCTGCAAAGGAGGGCGCCCCCTCCCTTCGTCCCCTCCATTGGCGGCAAGGAAGATGTCAGCAACTTTGACGAGGAGTTCACGACTGAAGCTCCGACGCTCACACCCCCACGGGAGCCTCGCGTGCTCTCCCGCAAAGACCAGGACAGCTTCCGGGACTTTGATTACGTCTCTGACCTCTGCTAGTGGACTGGGGGCTCCCAGACCTCAAGGAATGTTTGATTTTGGCGGTTTTGGCGGAGTGGACTGTCCGCTGACTGTTTGTATGCCGTTAATTACACTGTGAATGAATGCAGAGAGACCGGAGGCAGTCGGTCTGTGTTTTGTGGGGTTTTAAAGATCGAGGACTAAGAAGAAAAAAAAAGAAGCCGGGACGGATAGCTGATGGGGTAAAATGTTTTATCACAAACGAAGTCCCGCTCTTCAATCATTGTACAACACATCAGTGACTTGTGTATCTTGCAAACATTAGCCTTTAAAAAGCGTCCTCCCGTCCTCGTATGTGTCGTTGTGTAGTCGCCTGAGAGGAGGAGCTTGCTGTCTCTTCATACTGTTGACTGTTTGGGGGTTGCTTTACAGCCTCTCATACCAATGCCTTACATTTGTACTTGTAATAGTTTCACAGAAAAGCATTTTGTTTTTATTTTGTGGCCCTTTGTAAACAGCAGAAGTAAGATCCTCGTGCTGCATAAACATTCTTAATTGTTCTTTTTTTTTTTTTTTAAAGAGGATTTGCTTGTGGGAGAGGAAATAGTGCCGTTCAGAATGAATTTGTTCTCACAGCTTTCCCAGTAGTCGTATGATGAGCTTCAGTCTTGTTGACCGACGCTAGGTGAACTAACTATGGGGTAAAGAACCACTTTTACCAACTACTTTTTTAACATTTGTGCTGCATGAATTTTAATGTCTGACAAATGTTACAATAATTAAGTACCCACCGCACACTTTGTTTTAATTGGATATTTGGGTATTATACTTAATTTGATATAAACATATGTAGCAGACACAGAACTACAACCACCAGCATAAAAGCTATGTGGCAAGTAGGTTATATCAGTTTTTTTTAATTGGAGAAAAAAAAAAACATCTGAACACTAAAACTTGATGTACAAGTACCAGACTGTCCTCCAGTTATCTACATGCTATCAGAGTTTTGTGAACATGAAGTAAGTAATTTCCCTCCAAAACCGTTATATCTGACTCCTCAAACACTAAAAAATGTTGTTTTAGCATCAGTTTTAAGAACTTCAGCCACCAGTTTTAAAAACTGTCCGTTGGGGTCATCGCAGGGTTTGGTTTCCATCACAGTGATAAAATCATCTTTGTTTCAGCCGAAACCGAATGATATCTTAATGATTTTGGAAAATCTGGGTGGCAGTCCAAGCACAACAAACCTCATTAGCCACTTTTCCACAGTAAAGCCAATGAGGGCTTGATGCAGTGAGTGCTGCCTCAGATCCCAGCTAACAAGTTCTCTTGGTAATATGTTTCTAAATAAACAATATCCTTTGAAGGAAACCAAATAATAAATGTTGGAAAACATGAGCCAGAGGTATAAACGCCTATAATACGATTTCTGAGTAGAGGAGAGGTTTGTTGTGAAGCTGTATGTATGATGGTGTGGATTTTACTTATCTTGTGTATGACAGTACAAAACCATGTGAGTATGAGATGACTTATTTTATAAAGAAAACCTGAAGTGAATATAATGTCTGTGTGGTGGTGTTGTTTTTGTTGTGGGTATGGGAGTGTTGCATTCAAACCAAGGAAGGGTCAAGTACAGAAAATAAGTAAATAAATTAGCAACAACACATTAAACACATGTCATCACACACACAAAAAAAGTGTCTAACTAGGATGTTTTTGTGACTAAAGGTTGTAAGTGAAGAAATACATTTGAACAGCTGCATATTGAATAAACAATTAGCCACTGACCTGTTTTTGATTTAACGTATTTTTGATTTGCCGTAATTCAATATCGTTTATGGACTTTAGAAATTTAAAAAATTGAAAATGGTCTGCACTTGTGTAGCACCTTTTCTAGTCACATTCACCTGATAGCAGAGGCTTAGGTGCCAACTGCTCATCAGAAACCGAAACTAACATTTACACACACTTCATCTGGAGCAATTTGGGCTTCAGTACCTTGCCCAAGGACACGTCAACATGCAGACTGGAGGAGTCGGGGATAAAGGTGCAACAATTAAATGAAACTATTTTTTATAGATTTTCTGGTTTATTTACTGCTCTGTGACTGTAAACTGAAAGTCTTTGGGTTGTGGACTAAACAAGACATTTGGGGACGTCATCCATGGCTTTAAGAAACACTGATCAACCTATTTCACAACATTCTGACATTTTATTGACCAAACAACTAATCGATTAATCTAGAAAATAAACGACGACAATGAAAATAATCGTTAGCTGCAGCCTTCACCGGGGATCAAACCACCGATGTTCTCATTAGAGGACAGCCACTCTACCTTTTCCAACACTATTGTAATTATAATCATTTAACGATTAGATTAATTTTCATTTTAGATTAATCTGTTGATTAGAGATCATGTGGTTAATCGTTTAATATTGTCTATAAAAATGTATAGGATTGTTCATCAAAACTTGTCAGAGCCACAGGTATCATCCAAACCTGCAAATAATACATTTAAAAACAACTGAAAATCTTCAAATCCTCAGTGAAAAGTCACTGATTGACTAATCAACTAATTTTTCAGCTTTATAATAATGGGAACACATTAATGCCCAACATCAGCTTGATTAATGTGATTATTGATTTTGGAGAAATAATGTTGTGATTGTGATTTCAACCAAATCGCCGTAGCTATAATTCAAACATGATAGTTGGATTTCTGAGAAACAAAAATATCAGTTTACTTGGATTCCTTGGGGTTTAAGGATGATAACCTGGCCTTTGGCCTCCCTGTGAAGCAGCAAGAATCACTACTTATACTGGGAAAAACAACTTCTGGTTCACTGAATAGTTTTTATACAACTGCACATAGCACCTGTGTATATAGCCAGACTAAGTGAACAGGCCAGTTCTAAAGTCTTTCAAGGGAAAACACAAGAGGGTGGATCACTACACAGATAGTATGTGGGGTCATTACATGTTAACTACTGAAACATCTCCACCTTTTATACTATATATGTGAACTACATACTACAAATGTGAAGTTTGAGAAATTACCCCCTACTTACACTTTTAAATTGATTATCTTTAGGTTAATCGATTAATTAGATGTCATTGATGTGCAGTGGTGGAAATGGCCACGTTTTACTGGGGAACCATACTCTGGTGGGGTACCTTTCCACATACTTCTGTGACCCATTAGCTCTTTATTGTTTGGCTCCAGGGTCTTAGCAGGGGACTCATTCAGATCATAGGCAACACATGAGGTCATGGACTAAGGCCTAAAATTCATGATTATTTTCATTATGAATTTTTCATTTTAATATTTATGAATTCATTGTTTGGTCTGTTAAACATCAGAAAACAGTTGCCCCTCACAATCTCCTGGAGCTCAAAGTGACATTTCAACTTGCTTGTTTTGTCCAACAAACAGTTCAAAATGTTAAGATATTCAGTTTAGCATTTGAAAAACAGCTACCAATGAATATTTGGCAATTTATAAATGATTAATTGGTGATGAAAATAGTTGTAGAATAATTTTACATCAATCGACTAAATTCTTCATAACAAATCATGTCAGCTTTATTTGATTTAACCATTTGCTTGACCTAGGTGTACTGCAGCAGTTCCCTGCAGTACTGTACTTACAGTACTCTTACTGGGCTACGTATGGCTCAGCTTTCATTGCGCTGTAGGTGTTAAAAGTTAACATGATTATACGTTTGAACATCTACAGTTATTTAACAAGTGGAAAAAACCACATCTGCTGATGAAGACCCTGTGATATGGTCGAAAGTGCCAGAACAGTCAAGCTCAACTTTTAATCCTACAGATGCACAACGCTGTGCAAAGTTTGTACGTCTAGAGTTCCTTTGTAAGTGAACAAACTCATTCCTTTGCTGCATTCCTTTGCGTCATATAACTGACAGCTCCGGAACAAGCGAGTAAGAGGACCTTGAGTAGAGATAATTATGTAGTAAAGGTTTTCAAGGTTAAGGATTAACTGTCTGTCTCAGTAGGTCTACAGCTGGACTTTTTAGTTCCCCTATTCAGATCCCCTTAAGAACAGGTACCCTGGCTCCTTAATAATCCCACTTGTATAAACTAGGTAAATGACTATTATAACTATTGACTGTAAATATGTGTGACTCTATAATATGTGTGTAATGTGTGTGTTTTCAGTCAGTGAGTGTGCTGCTGGCCCTGCCTGATCGCCAGAGAGGGGAGTCGAGAGCTCTGCTGAGAACTACATGGTGCTCAATTTTTCAAGATGTCGTCGCTGGAACAGAGGCTGTCGCGAATCGAGGAGAAACTAAAGCAGGAAAATGAAGAATCTCGCCGGAGAATCGACCTCAACATCGACATGAGTCCACAGCGATCTCGTCCGAGGCCGAGTGAGTGTCCACCGGGGAGGACCGGGGAGTCGGTAACGGCCAGAATAGCGGGGGGAAAGATCGGAGAGGCGGAGGGAGGGAGAGGAGTGGGGGTGTTATGTTGCGCCTAGCTACTAAATGCTAACAGGCTAGCTACATAAACAAACACCGACTGAGCTTGGTCGGCTGATTTTACTGTCAAACAACTTACTTAACTAGTGGAGTAATATACATAGCGAGGAAAACAAAATATTTAAAAATGAAGCGCTGTCATGAAACATCTTGCTTGTTGTCACGTCCCGAAATCTGTTCCGATTCGGTCTTGTCAAACATGCTAAGCTACCACGGTAGCAGCCTGAGTGATAGTCAGTGGCAGGCCCAGCGTCAATCTGAATATGTGATGTAGTTTCCAGCCCGTTTACTAATTATATTACGAAAGTGCCATTCATCCCAGCGTACCCGTGGTTTCGTGTAATTAGTAAGCAGCGTGTTTGCTCGTGACTGCTCCGGCAAAGTCAATTTCTCACTGCCAGTTTGGACCCGTGACGATACAGACGCTAAACTGTGCGAGCTATCACATCAAGCTAACGTTAAACAGACGTTACCGACCGTTGGTCAGGGTGTTTTGTCTTATACACGGATACTACATTTAGAGGTAACATGTCATTCTGCTGCAGACTCGTTGAATAAAATCCTTCACAGTTTTCAGTGAATGTGAAGTGAGTGTTATAATGTTTGGTGAAACAGTAACTTGGGCCCTTCCACCGACTGGAGGAGAAAACTCCCCCCAACTAAACAGCCCGGCTAGCACAGCAGGGGAGTCTGCAACATGCCTGTGCTGCTGACATGTTACATGCTTGACATGTAACACCGAAATACACACTGGAGACAGAAAGCTCTTTATCGTTTTAGCAGTGACATAGTGAACTATGAAATATAAACTGTTCAATATAAGAAACTCTAAGCAGTCACTCAACTGCACAAAGATTATTTCCTACAGAACCTCACTTCTAATGAGCTTTGAGAGAAACAAAAAATGCTCTCAAAAAATGTGTTGTGAGGTTATACTAGCTGCCTGTGAGAATGAGATTGTAATGATGTGTGGATGAGTTAAAGGAAAGGCTGGTGCTATTCTGTATGTTGGTTATTGTCAACAAGTCTCAAGAAAAGACCAAAACCAGCAGTCAATCAATCATCCCCCTGGCTTCTCTAAAAAACTAGTAATACTCCAATACTGGCCAGATTAAGTTGATCATCCATGTGATGCTAGTAAGTTCCAAGCAGTGAGTTATACAAATATTAAATTTGGGAAAAGGAGACCACTGGTATCGGGTCAACACTCAGTATTGGCAGATCATCTGAGTCAAGGCAGCAGTGTTGGAAGAGAAAAGGTTGATTCAGTGCATCCGCATTAAAAACACACCAGTGAGCCACACTGGGTTGCACATTATTTAATTAAAGTGAATATGGGCACTGTAGTTTATTTTGACTGGATGTACACCACCCTGCTGCTGTAAAAACTCACTGGAGTGCCAGAAGTGTATTCATCTGCAGTTGAAAATAGTCCCTGAGAAATATTTAGTCCTGTTTGAGTAACGTCTGCTTTAAACTACAGGGCCCAAAAGTGATTGAGCCTTTTTTTAAATGGAAACAATACATTTGTAACCCATTTTTTTTTGGTTCATGACTTGACTGCTGAGTGCCACAGACAGATGGAGACAGACTAGCGCATTGTTGATCTTGGTCTTTTCATAGGATTTATTGACAATAAAAAATAAAAAAAGATTTCCCCTTATCTCCTAAAATACACTGCTTTTGTTTATGTTTGAAGAAAAGAAAAGGGAATTTATATTGAAGGGAATTTTAGTTTTTTTGTTTTTCTCTGTTATATGATGGAGAGTGTGTGTGCGAGCATCTCAGTAGAACAGTGCAGTAATGTGCGTGCGTGTGTGTATATTTTCTTTCCTCTGTCTAGTCATCGTGATCCAGCTCAGTCCTGCTCCAGCCCCCTCCCAACGTGCAGGTATCATTCAATCCATCACTCTCTCTGCCACTGCAACCCCTCCTCCCCCAACACCTGTGTCCCCCGTTTCACCTCCCATCCCCTCCTCCCTTTATTTTTGTCTATCTTCTTTTTTTTTTTAAACTCATCAGAGAAAAACACAAGTTTACCTTTGTTTTCTCCTGCCATTAAAGCCCAATAGATCCTCAGTACTACTACTAGTATTACTCATGTTTGTCTTTTTAACACTTATATGCACATTTCTTACATCCCATGTAATCAGAGTCTAAAAAGTCTGTGGCAAGTAAAAGTCAGCTCACTCTCTCCAAAAATTATAGGGGCATATTGTGTTTCAGCCAGTCAGACTATATGGTCACATCAAAAAAAAGTAACATATGTTAGCATCAGTTGACAATGTGTATTGTGGTTTCAAAGACATGGATTAACCACAATTTGCCATATAGACTTCAAGTTTTTTTTTTTGTTTTTTTTCCCTTCAAACCTCCTCCCTGCACACACTTACTTTCTTGCTCTGTACCTCAGACCAGTTCCTGGTAAGATTACGTCTGGGTTTAATCCATGTTTGTCAAACAAGTACTGATATTTTAGCCCAGCAGTTCTTTACACCTCCCCTCAAATCACATCTTCTCTCCATCTTTCCATCCCCAGTCCCCCCCTTTGTGTCAGTGGCAGGGTAGTGTTGGTGTGTGTTGATGTTCACAGTGTATGTACGGGCGAGTGTCGGATAATTAACCTTTGTTGTGCTGGAGGCAGAGAAACACGGTGCATGTGGCTTTTCTGCACGACACGATGTTTTGGGTTGTGTTTTGTTTGACACAGTCTCTAATCCAGCATCCCCACTGGTTCGTCTGCAGGAGTGCTGCGAACACTCTGGCTTCTCTTTCTCTCTCTCTCTTTTCGTTGTGTGGCGACTTGAAGACTGTCCTTCCTGTCAGAGTCCAACTGACTGACTTTCAGCTTAGTCTGTGCTATGCAGTTTTGGCTGAACTTCTCAGACTGTTTGATGTCGCTTGTCTGTTATTCATCTTCTGGCATCTCCCTTCTTCCTGTTGCAGCAGCTCTGTGTGAGCAGAAGGCGATGCAGCAGTGCCTGTGATTGTTTATGTCTCATTTCTCCTCGCTCTGTCTGCCTGTCTGTCCTTTCGTCTGTCCATCTGGAGCCAGCCGAACTGGGGAGATGCGACCTGTGCCAAAGACTGCCTGAGTTTTCCTTCCTCGCCATACTAACCCCTCTTCACTAACTGATTCTCCCCTTACAGGCTGATCTATCCGCAGGTGACTCATGGATACGAACACCTGCTGGCACTCTCAGAAGAGCTGCCAACCTGCTACTAAAAAAATAATGATCATAACAGCTGCATGGTCCTCAGTGTTTTGTGAACTGGTTTCAGACATTTAAAAAGTTGAAAAAAAAAATGTGAATTTTATTATAAGTAGTGAATTGAACTCTTAGTAATTAGGGTCCAGAAGCCACTCTTAGTGTTCATAGTCAGGGAGGTCACCTTTCTAGCTGACTTGTCTGAGCATTTGGTTGCATGTCTGGTCTGTGCTAATACTACTTTAGATTGTTTGCCTGAAATTGTTCTCCATTTGAAAAAGAGTCAGTACTTGCACATACACCTGATATTACAATCGGAGTTAAACATGTCCTTGAACGCACAATTTAGTTGTTTATACGGGGCTAGAAGCATGTTTCAGTGCCAGTCAGTTTTAAACTGGATTTTCAATATGGCGTATAAGTCATTTAGGGGTATCAAAAAGACTAAAGGTGGCGCTATAATTGAAGCTCAAATACCGTGGGAAAATCCTATTCATTTCAATGGCATTTTGAACCAAAGGACATTTTGCCTCATAACTACGCGCCACTACATCACACATTCATAAACCTTTTGTCTACGTGTTTGGGGGATACTGTCTATTCGTAAAGTATAGGACACGCTTCTGTGCGATGACGTTTTCTTTTCAGTAAATCGTAAAAACTGAAAAAGCTATTTTAAAGAACTCCTCCGAAGCGGCAAGTCCAATCGACACCAAACTTGGCACAGACAATCTCTGGACCAAGCTGATAAAAGTTAGTGCTCCCCAGATTGATACGCGAAAAACTTTCAGATTTGTAAGCTAACAAATGTGTGCGCCTAACGCTCTAAACAAGAAGTGATGTCTTCTCTTAAGTTAGGGATGTCCTATGATCACCAAACTTGGGGACCTTATGTGGCACGCCTTCCCAAGGGGCTGTATGAAATTTGGTGTCAATCGGCCTCCAGGTGGCGCTATTAATCGTATATCAAATAACACTCCCATAGAAATACATTAATTTTATCTCCGTAACCGCAAGTCCCTTAAATGTCAAACTCTGATTGTTTATTCAATTATTAATTGTTCGACTTGCACGGCCTCCGTGGGGCGAGTGGTGCGGCTGGTGCTGGGGGGCTTGGACCCCGCTTACAACTGTTTGCAGTTCTAGTTACAACTTGGGATCATCACTTCTGTCTGTTGCACTCACCAAAAGAATCTCTAGGATTGGGAACACATTACTAGGTTGTGAGACATACCCAGGGAAGCCAAACTTATTTGGAAGAGAAAACAAAGGCGAACAGTTAAAATATTACTTGTCCATTACATTTCACAAACCTGGTTCAAGAACTACAGCGCTTGCTGTAGTTGTGCACACAGTTTTCCTGTATATTGAGGGATTATTAACAACATTACAGGTGTGCTCACTTTCGTTTTACCTCCAAATAAACTGTTGGTTTGTTTAAAAGCTATATGATCGACTCACTGCCCATACTTGTTTCCCTGCTCCCCGTATGTTTTGTAATGTGAGATCTCACTTTAGTGAGTACAGTTGCTATCATACTTACATAAAACCAATGGCTGCCCACGTCCCTAAACTGTACCTCCCGGGCTACGGGCTAACTCTGCGCTGTCTCTCCCTGCCTGAGAATGGTGTTGCTTTTGCTGTGAGATAACCATCCTGTTAACATTAGATCAGCGAAACAAAAACAAAGCTGTGACGTTGGGGAAATAAAAACAACAAGTTCATATGCTGGTTAAACACTACGGATCTAGATCGCAGGGCTGTAGTAAAAGAACTCTTTGACTTTGCCAAGGCCACTTTCTCCTGGTGTCTCATGGGAAATACATTTTAGTTAGTACTACACAGCGTATGATAGATCACATACTTAATTCATCAGACACTTAGATTTAGTCAGTGTGTGTCCAAATAATAAATGATCTCTGTTGGTGCACAACAGCTTTAAACCACTTAAATAATGGAGTCAATGAAAATGCATGATTAAACATAGCCATCTTACACCTTGTGGCATGCTGGCCTCTGGTGCGAAACTGTGCTCTTTGTTCTGTACTCCTGTCTGTGTCTAATGTGTCATGCAACCCCCCCCCACCACCACAGCGCTCCAGCTGCCACTGGCCAACGATGGAGGCAGCCGTTCATCATCTTCAGAGAGTTCGCCTCAGCACCACCCCTACCCCAGCCGCCCGCGACATATGCTGACCCTGCCCACACCTCCGTATGGCCTACAGAAGAGCCTAGAGAAGTATGGACACAATGCTGATGTTCATCTGAGCAGTGATTAACAAGAGAACTGTATTCGCATAACTGTCATCTGACAACAGCAAACAAGTTGATGTGGCATCAGTAAACGCCTCTTTGTGTACAGCATAGAATTGTAAGATGGTGGTAAAAGATTGTTGATTTTAAAAAAAGATATTCAATACATTTTTGGTTTTGAAATAAATAATAATAATAACCTTTCTGTGAACATAGACACACATGCACAGATATCCACACAGGGTGAGTGAGTGTACTGTTTAAAGTACAGAGGAATAATTATTGGGTAAACATAGAGAGACAAAACAGATTGACTGTGATTTTACATATATATTTATGTATTATACCACTGGGGTGTGAGCAGAACGTTACACACAATGGATCTGCATGCAGAGTGTGTGTGGGTAGAAGAGATGTACAGAAGCACACACACTGCATCCATTTATGAGTCAGAAGTCTCTCTCTCATCTCGCTGTGGACTTTTCACACTGAAACTTACTTCATGTGGCAGTAGCGCTCCCTGACTGTGTGTGCCGCTGTGTGTGTGGTTTGTCCCCACAGTGCTGAGATTGACCAGAAATTGCAGGAGATCATGAAACAGACGGGTTATCTGAAGATCGACGGTCAGGTGAGATGTGCACACGGAGTCACATGTTGAGTTTTTTTCTGGTCTGTAAATGTTAATCCCTCCCGCATGTCATAAATTATATTAACTGAAAAACAGTGATAATGTAGCAACACATCCTATGTCTTCTTCTGTTGACCTCTATTGGTGTCCAAAAACTATTGAAAACACATGAGTGAGCCACACTGATGCTTCATTACAATGATCATGGGCACTGAGGTTTAGTTTGAATCGATTTCCAGATGCACCGTCCTGCTGCTGTATATAATCGCAAGGGCAGTAAATGTGTATTAATCCACAACAATTGCTCCATTAGCTCCTGTTTGAGTAACATTTGCTGCAAACTACAGTTGCTTTAGGAAATAACTTTAAAAGAAACTAAAACTACATATTTGTGACTTGTTTTCAAATATTTACATCTCCAGTAGGAACCGATGGGGTGGCGGCTGAGCACTCAAATGGGGGAGTTGGGTGTTGCAATTTCTTGCGACTTGTTGACAGTTACAAAATTATAGAATAAACTAGACTCACTTATATTGCTGACATCAAGACATCACTTTACACAGTCTTAAATTATTTTTTATCACACTTTTTTTAACACTTCTTTGTTCTCATCAGCATTCAGTAAGAAAGAATAAAATCTAATTCATTATGATGAGAATGCAGGCAGGCTATGAAAGCAAACATCTGTACCGCTGAAGTCTCCTTGAGCACTGCATTGAATCTCTATCAAGGCATTTTTTTTATCTCTTTGACAATAAACAGAATATTATTAAAAACTCAAAAACTGTGTTGCTTTTATCTACCAAGATAAAATCGAGGACAGTGACTACGGGTTGGCCTCATTTTGTTTGTTTGTTTTTCCTCCCTCGTGCAACCTTCAGGTCCAGTATCGCAGTTAGTGCCATTCAGGGTTTGAAGATGCTTGAGAAAGAGATTTGACTCATCGCTGCACTCCAGATTGTCTTTACTTCCTCTCATTAGCCCTGAAGGGTTGTTACATCATGCACCCAGTGAGATGTTGTTCACAGCATCTCAGTCACCAGTGGTTTAATTTTAACAAAGCAGGGAAATGATGCATCTTCCCACTGTGTGCTGGTGTTCTCAGACATGGCCAGTGGGGGAGCAGCTTAATTACACATCAAAACATTTGTTAGTAAATGGCCCAGAGGGAGTTCAGTGTTGCTTTACGATGCAGAAAGTCAGACCTGGCCTCTTTCATCTATTTTCGGCTCAAAGAGTCAGCGTAGAGACAAAATTTAGTTAACATTTTAACCGATAAAAATATCTTAAGCATGATCTGAAGTCTTATTCTGTGTTTGTGCTTCCTCATCTGTCCACAGCGGTATCCAGCCGAGGTGACGGACCTGATCAGTGAGGGGGAGATTGGCAGCGGGACCTGTGGACAGGTCTTCAAAGTACGATTCAAGAAGACCGACCATGTCATCGCTGTCAAAGTAAGAGCCTCCTGCACTCACACATTTATCAGTATTTCCTTTCCTCGGGAAGCCAGCCTGCTAAAATGAGTATCCAAAGTTTGTAACGAGTCATTTATTCCTTTTTGTGAAATCAATTCTTGAAACATTTTGGCGTTCCTACGCTTATATGTAAAAGGAGAAAAATGTTTTATTTCCCATGCCATAGGTTTGATTTTTAAAGTGTCCCATTAGTATCACCTGCTGTGGCTAGTTGTTCTGGGATCCACAAATACACACGGGACAGAATCTAGACACTGACAGAAAATAATAACATAAGGAATACAGAATACATAAAAATATTTAAGTATTAGTCATTAATAACACAGTTAGTTTAAAACAGGACTGAATTAGTACATAACCCAGAAAGAGATTTGAGACATGATTAGAACGCTTTTCATTAGATCATATTACCTAAATTAAATGTCAATTGCAGTTTGAAGCTCTTTCTGTAAATAATGTATTTGATGGGGGTTGGAGTGTCTGTACAGAACTGAATTTCAGATGTTTGGGAAGACATAATTCACTAAAATTAATTTATATTAATGATTTTTAGCATTGCTTTTATACTGCTGGTTTTTGGCTAGTGTATTTAAGCAGTCTTAGAAAGAATTCAAGTTCACCTACGGAGATGGGTTTCCTGAAACAACAACATACTTATATATAATAATATGAGCTTTGTGTAATTATTATAGTTATTTGTGCTTTACTAATTCTGTGTGATTGGTCTGCCAATGCTGTGATGCTGAACAACTCAGGTACATCCCATCATTTTCGTCAAGCTGTGGCTTATTTTCAGAAAATAAGAAAATGTCCCTACAGGGACCATAAAGACTTGAAGTAAACTCTCAAAGACCAGTCAGCGTGATCAGAACACAGGAGGAGCTTGACACCCAGCCTGACTTAGCGCTCTGATTTTCTGTTGTGCTTTAATTGCGACTAGTTTACCAACACAGTGGCAGTAATAACCCCACATAACAACCCTTCTATTTAAGAGATGGCTTAATTGTAGCTGTCCGAGTTGTTTAACAATTAGGGAGTCCCTCAGCTCACCAGAGGAGTCTTTGTGTTGTGATTTCCTAATGGCTTGTTTTTTAACATGCACACCCGCCGTGGTGTGTGTTTCATACATTCAAATTTTGGCAGGAATCTTACATGTCTCTTTTTTGTGTGTGTGTCACCAGCAAATGCGTCGTACAGGAAACAAGGATGAGAACAAGAGGATCCTGATGGACCTGGATGTGGTGCTGAAGAGTCATGACTGCCCTTACATCATCCAGTGCTATGGCGCCATAGTAACCAACGTGGGTTTCTCCAAAATACTTTACATACATTAACTACAATACAATAGTAGTCCTTCACCAGCTAAAAGACAGACTTGGGTTTATTTTTATATTTGCACCCAGTGTGACTGCTTTTACATATTTCAGTAAGCTCCCCTGTGGTACCTCCTGAAGTGTGCTGGTAAATGCTGGATGTTGAATGTGTGTTTGTGTGCGTGGTCAGACGGATGTATTCATTGCCATGGAGCTGATGGGAACGTGTGCTGAGAAGCTGAAGAAGAGAATCCAGGGCCCCATTCCAGAGCGAATCCTCGGAAAGATGACTGTGGCGGTAAGAGGAAGAAACACAGATGGGAACTCTGCTCACGTGATTGTTTGATTGATTGCTTATGGACTCGCTCTGTGTGTTTCTGCTCCAGATAGTGAAGGCGTTGCTGTACCTGAAAGAGAAACATGGCGTCATCCACCGGGACGTCAAACCCTCCAACATCCTCCTGGACGATAAAGGTCAGATCAAACTGTGTGACTTCGGCATCAGCGGACGCCTCGTCGACTCCAAGGCCAAGACCCGCAGTGCCGGCTGTGCTGCCTACATGGCGGTGAGTGAAAGCTCACACACACTACACTCAAAACACAACAAGTATCTCACACACAAAGTTCTCACATCCTGTCTGTCAGCCAACATGTTTGTGTTTGTGGCCTTACCAATATATTTGAACACAAGACATAAATGGATACAAACAGATGCAATCAGAAAATATCCCAGTTTAAACATGATACACACATGTATTCCCTAAACAGAGTCTTGCCTGTTTTTGTTTTCTTGCAGCCTGAGAGAATAGACCCTCCAGATCCCACCAAACCTGACTATGACATCCGAGCAGATGTGTGGAGCCTTGGCATCTCTCTGGTAAAACTACTTTTATTTTCTTACCAGGAAAGAAGTGCACTCGTTTTCAAAGTGGGTGCAAATGTGTCAAAATGGAAGATACCATTGTAAAGTACTAATGCTAAGATGTATTAGGTGGTGGCAAACATTTCGAGGGCAGTAATTACAGTAATGCCATGGTTCACATCACGCTCTCTGTTGTCAGCATGATGTACTGACCTCAGACCAGTTTTTAAAACCGGAGCTTGCTGGCTAAGCATGAACTGCTAGCCCTGTTTGAAAACCATTATGAAAGAGGATTTTTTTTTTTAATATGGGGATGTTTTGTCTCATCTGAATTTCCCACTGTAGCTTCATCTATTATTCTACAGCTGTCAACAGAGACATGAGTGGTTACCCGAAACACCCCAGACTAAATAGTTCCAGGAAACAGCCTCAGGAACTAATCTAGGGAACTGAAAGTACCTGTGTCTCCACCGCATCTGAAGAACGGTGAACATTAGGCAGATAGTCCAGTAATGAATGAAAAAACAATGGTTTGAGCAACAAAGTGAGTTCGATTTTTGTCAAATTACTGACAAAACCTGCTTGAATCTAGTTGTACACAACTGTAGAGTTACTATATTGTGTTATTTATTTAAACAGTCTTTTTCCAAACAAGTGTAGCGTTTATTTCCATCATTGACAGTGGATGTTAATGGGTTCTTGTGTCTTGTAGGTGGAGCTGGCCACAGGACAGTTTCCGTACAAGAACTGCAAGACAGACTTTGAAGTTCTGACCAAAGTGCTGCAGGAAGATCCTCCTCTGCTTCCCCTCGGCATGGGCTTCTCCCTTGACTTCCAGTCCTTCGTCAAAGACTGGTGAGTACAAATCTCACTCTATGTAACTGATGCTCACAGACTGCAGTCCAGCTCTCAGGTCATCAAGTTGCTTTTCTCAGGCTTATGATTAGTTAGTTATTGAGTGTGGGTGTTGTTGTCAGTGTTTTATTTATTATCATGTCACTTGCTGATACACTTTTATATGAAGCAAATTAAATTTATTATTTAAAAATCACTCATTGCAGCTTCACTTCATGTGTGTGTCTGTCCACAGCCTCACAAAGGATCACAGAAAAAGGCCAAAATACCACCAGCTGCTGGTAAGACACCAAGCAACAAACATTTCGTTGAGATTTCCCAGAAATAAATAATAGTCACGTAACTAAACTGTCTCCCTCTCGCTGTTTCTCTTCCTCGTCCAGGAGCATAGTTTCATCCGGCGTTACGAGGTGCTTGAGGTGGACGTGGCCGGCTGGTTCCAGGCGGTGATGGATCGCACCGAGTCGCCTCGCAGCAGCCAGTGTTACAGCCATCAGCACCAGCTCCACTCGCTCTTCAGTAGGTAGCCTAGCCCAGCCTGGCGTTAGCTTAGGCTGACGCTAGTCTAGTCTAGCTTTAGCTTTGCCAAGCCCAGACTCAGTCTGTCCTAGTCTAGCCCAGCGTTAGCAGCTAAGCCCAGCGTTAGACCCAGTCCGCCTGTCCATCTGTCCACCGGAGAACCTGAAGAGCCTACAGAGGAGGGGGGAGGACTCTGGCTTGACAGGTGGAGTGATGGACGGATCAATGGATGACACAGGTGTTTCTCAGTGTGTTGAATCTGGACAGGCAGACATGGGAGGGTGGGAAGAGGAAAAAAGGTTCACGCTGCAGTTAGCTTCATTCATTCACACACTGTCGCGTCTTGTCACACTATCCTTTCACGTCACGTCACGGTGTGTGTAACAGCCACACACTCACTTTCATACAAACTGTGTGTATCTTGCATGTGTTTCTACAGTAAAAAAAAAAAACTCGGTAGTTTTTCATCTTCATGTCCGTCTACAACATTGATCCATTGGATCCGTCAACAGAGTAGTCACTACACACTGGAAGAAAGCATCTGCTACATTAGCAAACATTAATCTCTCTTGTACATAAACATTATGGAGGACACAATGTCCGGTGCAATTATGATTCTTCAGGTGTTTCTACTATCACACATTCTCAGGGTGTGTGTGTGTGTGTGTGTGTGTGTGTGTGTGTGTGTGTGTGTGTGTGTGTGTCACAGGTGGTTAGTAGTGAGATTATGTTTCCATGTCATTTCTTCACCTTCACACTACAGCTGTAACACACAAACAAGAATGAATTCATAATGTTGGCTGTCCTTCATTTTTAACATGTTAGGATAGTAATCCTCATTAACTTTGATATGAAATACGTTTAGATCACCCATTATTGTATTTAGCAGCTGCATAATTGGAAAACAAACACAATGAAAAAGAATAACAAAAAAATTAGTGTTGCATTCTAGCTTTGTACAAAAGGACATTTTAGGATTTTGTTGTGTGTTCATAATGACTTAGATGAACTTAAAGAGTGTTACAGGAGATGGAGGGAAACGAAGAAGAGCAAAGATGAGTTAGAAAGGTGGAGTGTCCGACTTTCTAGAAGTGTGCGTGAGAAAAGAAAATCGAATAAGAGGGGAGGTGAATAACTGTTACTAATGTGAGAAACAAGAGAGAGGTTGGAGATTAAAAGTGGGGGCAGAGTGCTTTTTTTTCATTGAGAAGGCAAAGAACAGGAGCTTGTACAAAGAATATGTGCTGTATGGGGTAGAGCTTGTGGAGCATTTCTTTACTTCACTCTCTCTGTTTGTCTACCTCTTCCTCTTTGTCCACCGCTCTGTCTGCCTCTGTTTTTAGTGTGACATAGAGCTCCACAGTGTTACCAAACCAAAGGCTTGTTGTTGGTGGAGGCCAAGAGATTTAGACCTGCCCCTGCAAACATTTCAGTTTTTAGAAACTAGATCCGGGGTCTCAAACTACCAGGCCAGGGGCCAGACCTGACCCACAAAGTCATAAAGCAGCTATCATTTTTAGAATTCATTCAAAAATCTGCCTCACATATCAGTTTTCTATTTTTGTCTTTTAGGCCTGAAGTAATCATTTACTTTTTCCAGGGGTTCAACTTACAATATTTTTTTATTGATCACAGTCAAAGCAGATCAAAATGTCAGACTGTCATGTTTCCAGATTATCAGATTAAGACAAGTCAGTTTGCTATCATTAACAAAGAAAAGCAGCAAATCTTCACTTTTTAAATACAGCTGATCAAGTAATCGTACCTACCTACCATACTGTAAGAGGAACACCGCCTAGATTTGGCAAAACACACCTAAATGACACCAAAATGGTAGTTTCAAAACCCAAAAGAACGTTTGACCTGGAGCACAGACAGTTTCCAGAGACCGGAACAATTGATTATGTTTCCGTGGAGTTTAATTTGACTGTTTCCTGTCTCATCTGTAAGGACAAAGCTGCCGTTCTCTGGGAGCCTGAATCGACATTACTTTGGAGTTTCTTATCCCACCAGCAGAAAACAACCTGGCCCGTGGCCCCCAGTTACTTTGAGACCCCTGAACTAGAGGATTGTGAAGATAAAATTGAGTGTGTCGCGCTTGATAAACCAGGCACACCTGAACTGGTCTGTGTGTGTTTGAAATTGTGATGTATAGATGTACGTAATGAGCGCAGGTCACTGACTGCCTCGCCTCTTGCAGGGCCACAGCCAAAGCCTGCTAGATTTGCAGACTCAAACCTCCTGCGCCCTGTCACACACCAAACCAAATCACTGCTAGACACAGAGAACTGAGGCCTGGCAAAAATAGAGAGAGGAAACTGTTAAGTGTCAGAGAGCGAGAGAGAGAGAGAGCAGGAATATTGTCAAGATGGCAGAAAAGATGAGTGAAAATCAAAACAACAGGAAAACGAGAGGAGATGACTGAGTGAGGTGAGAGGGAAGACGGGGAGTATTTAGGAAAGTGGAATGGAAAGTTTAAAGAAAAGTCAGAGGCAAACTGGAGATAGTTGACAGGAAGTGAGTGTGTAAAAAGGAGAGAGGAAACAAGGGGAAGAACAACCTCAGTTCCACAAAACTGCAGAGCTCTGAGGCTAGCTGGTTACTGTAAAAAGCTTTCATGGTGTTACACCAACCTACCATTTATGATGTTAGTGAGTGAGTAAGTGTGTCGTGTTTGATGTTTACTGTTCTGTTCAAACGATGTTATTTATTTACATTGCTGCTGCTGCTGCTACTTTTTTATTATTGCTTTAGACGCTGCTGTCACTTATTTTCCCCAAAGGACAAAAAAAAAATACTTTATTCTTTTTCTTTTAAGCCAAATAAGTAAAATAATGCAATGTCAACACGTTACCAAATACAGAAGAGCAAGTCTGAAGAGGGCAAACGCAAGTGAGCAATGGTGAGATGGAGTAGTAGAAGAGAGAGTGCAGGGAGGTTGGCTTCACAAAAAGTACTCACACCACACACCTCACCTCAAATGTAGCTGTACGTGTAAAGTAGTTAATCATTTATATCCCGACGTCACACTAAACTCTGTACAGTGTAGATAAGACCTGAGGGGATGTCTGTCTGTCCAGATGCTTTTTGTTGCATCCATCCTTTACTCCGTCCATCCGTCCCTCCATCTGTCCACAGGTCGCCTGCAAGCTTGACAACCTTCACAGTTCTCACCAAAGGTGTCCACAACTCAACTAAAATAAGAAAGAGCGATGTTGTTATTCTTCTGACTATTGTTATTGACATTATAATTGATTACTCTCAGCTATGATATATATGAACTCTCTCTATAGCTAGTGGGGGGGGGCACTGTAGTGTAGCAGTGCCGTGTGTGTGAGTGTGTAAGTGTCATATTACTGTACAGGGGGAGACTATTGCACTAACACACGACAAGGGCTCAGCAATGAAACCAGCCGGCTCATCCTTCTCCTCAGTCAATCCGCTCACTCGGGGCCCGTATCACTGAGGGCTGCCGGGCTCCACCGAACATTAGCGAGCCTGGACAACTGGTATCACACAGCTGGTTATCGACTGGCTCCGTTTGTGCTGGGTTTTCCAATCCAGCTAATCCAATTCATAATCGCATACCAATCAGTTTTTTTTTTTTTTTTATCAGTCAAACTTAGGACAGCACCCTCCAGTGCCACAGAAGACAGACCTCTGCTGTTGTTGTGTGTAAAAACAGCGGGGTGTCTCCTTTTAAAGACAGCTGGCATTGTGGATTAAGAGCGTTAAAGATTATCTACAGTGTCAGTTTAATTTAGTTTTTTAAATATGCGTCTATAATAGTCATTTATTAGGCTGTTTGTGTGGAAATCTCTTGAATTTCCTTGTTTTTATACCCAGAGTGGGCATGCTTTTGTATAAAATAAAACCTCTTATCTCTGACTTAAGTCAAGGTAACTCTATTGAGACATTTAGCCACTGTTTGTGTGTTTCTTTTTTTGCGTTTTATTACTTGTTACTTTATTGTAAACTCTACTTATGCCCATGTTGGTAAATCTGTCTGAACCATGACTCTGATCCTCTGACCTGCTCCGTTAGCAGTGTAAGTTATCATGGTGATCTCCCCACGCTTAAAAGCGAGCCAGCTTGGTGATACCAGAAAAGTTAAGCCCAAAGATGGCTCAAGTCTCTTGGTGATACAGGCCTCTGAGCAGATGTGACGGCGAGCTGGCACGACTCCGTTAGCTCAGCCTTAGTCGGGTGTTTTAATCTGGAGACCAGCGTGTGACCTGGGACAGATTTAGCTTCCAGCAGTGAACACGGGACTCTTGTTGTTTGGTTGTCCTTCTCCTTTAAACCCCTCCAAATGACAAGATTCAGGGCTGATCATGACAGATCTGCTCATATAGACCTGATTCTGGTGCTTAGCATCCCTCAGTCTGTACTGCTCTGCCAGCACAGACTGAGGTGTACTCATTGGTGCAGTTTCTAAAAAAAAAAAACGTCAGGGAGCCGGGGCGACCCGCTCTCACTACAACGTTCACTGTTCAAAATCTTTACGTGTGACTTAAAACACAAAGCTGGACCCAGTCTCCCACTGTCGACGTCCTCTGTTGTTAAGCTGATGTGTATTTTAAACGCGCACACACTCGCTCTACCGTGCCGTTTGGGCACCTGATTGGGTGACTGTGCCACGCTGCACCTCTGTGGAACCAACCACAAACTAGTCATGCCAGCTTAGCACCTCCTCCTAGGAATGACTGTCGGTGTGTGTGTGTGTGTGTGCGTGTATGTGAGTGTGTGAGGAATCAAAAACATATGATGTTAACCCGTTCTTGCTACTGCCAATAGTGGCTACATGTGAATATTAGCTTGTCAGGTTGGAGGCCAGGGGTCTTGGCATCAAAGGGGCAGCGTGTGTGTGTGTGTGTGGTAAACCCATCTGTAAGTAAACCAAATATCATTTTCACTATGCATTCGTTCAAACCATGTCAGCTTACTTGGACGGGGAACAAAAGCCTCCTGTACATACACAGATTTACGGATAAAGTGGAGTTGGCGACAGTGTGTGTTTTCTTTTCAAGCCCCCTCCCAGTGTGATGAACATCACCGCCTTCAGCTCATTCACAGAGAATAGAGAGAGCAAGAGAGATGTTTTGAATGAGCTGACAAATATTTAAGGATTGTATTGGGGTCGGGATGGGACCGGGGTTAGACTGCGGGTTTGTAGTGTGGGGGAGATACAGATCAATGCTGTAAAGTATATCAATTGCATGTTATTGTCACCGTTGTAACTGCCATTGTTTTGTTTTTTTTGTTTGTTTGTTTTCTTCCAAGACAACGGTTGGTTGGGGTGGGGATGCACAAAACTTTATCCTTATTTATGATTTTTACACATATAGTCTGTATTTTTGTTTTTTGCAAAAATGTTGAATTATGGTGTACTTAGGAAAAGACACACTTTTATTTGCCTTTTTTATGTTCTTTGTCAACTTTGCAATATACTTTTTCACTTTGGACCCATCATTAGTTGTCGAGGAGGAGCTGTATCTTTATTAGCAGACAGTGTTTGTTAGAAAAATGTCTCAACGTCCTGTTTTCCTCTCCTTCATGTGCCGTGTGTCTTTCCTTTCAGTTAGCTGTGTGTGTGTGAGCAGAGAGTTTGTGTGATGTTTATTCGTCTACCAAAAGTCTTTATTGATGGTGATTATTATTATTAGGTTTAGTTTTTTTTTTATGATAATCATGATTACTATGATTACGGTTTTTATTATTATTTTTTGTTGTTATTCAGGGCAAAGATGACACCAAATTGAACAAAGAAATAAATGGGTGATCCCAGACAGCACTGAGAGCTGCACAGTGTTGTCTGTCTCTCTAAAGGTTTCTTTTACTGGCGAGGTGGAGCAATCATTTTTCTCACCGTTACGCTGTAGTGTCTGTCCACCTTATTTAAACTGCCACATAAAGATAACCTCTGAACTGAGAGTCTAGTAGTATTTTTTATTATTATTATTATTATTATTATATATTGTTTTCCTTTGATCAGATATCATGATCGCTTTATTTCTTGTTACCCCAGTGTGGGTCATAAATTGTGTGCTGTTATTTAATTCCCCCCTCCCCTCATCATCCCTGCCCACTGCTTATGGATTTTATTTTTTATTCTATTTTATGATTATTATGTTTTATTATTTCTGGTTTGTCTGATGCTGTAGTAGTGAGCTGATTGGTCAAATGCCAGAGCTTTTTTTTTTTTTCTTCTCTAATGCTGAGACTGTCGTGACTGATGTTGCACTTGTCATGGGTTTTTTAAAGTTTGTTTTTGTTTTGTGTTGCAGATTGTTGTGCAGAGAGAAGAATATTGGGTGTTTTCCTTATTTTCTTTTAAGTCACAGCAGTTCTTTTATCAATCATAGATATGTGACACAGAGCAAGAAGATTATTCAACAGTGTATTTTTTTCACTGATATTTATTTATTGGTCATTTGTATGTTTTTTTTGAAAGGGGGGGTGTTTTTTTGTTGTTTTTATTGTGTATTGCTTTTTTTGTGGGGGCAAACAGGACTCAAGTTAGAGGAGTAGTCTCTCATTGGCATTTTACTATTATATACAAAAAGCAGAATATCGTATTCAACCATCACACTAACGTGCAGTCTATAAAGTAACAGGTTAAAAATCTGACATCCATTGTTTTCTTTACTGTTTACCCTGTCAGAAGGCTCCAACAAACTATCTGCTCATGGTTTAAAGCTGAGTAGCCACCGCATGGTGTATTTGAACTCTAGTGCTATGCTATGAACACAGTTAAAGCTTGTATTTTTTGAAACTTGGATGGTTTTAGGTATTTCAGTTGATGATAGCTACTATGATCGTGGACTGATTGGCTTGTTATTAACCTGCACTCCCTGTTCGCGAGGTGGGACACGCCTGCTTTGAGATATCATTGAGGTTTGTTGCTTGGTTTTTCTAAATGCAGTTCCAAGTCTAGTTTGCATGACTTTGCTAGTTTGCAGGGTGGGGGGAGGATTGACTTCAGTCACCGCTGTTGCAGTTCAAATGCTTCTTGTATGTACGACACCATGGATTTATTGTCTTGACAGTTGTATCAATCGACACAGCTTTACTGCCTGTTTCTATTTCTTTCTCTTTTTTATTTTTTGGTTTGTTTAATTTTGTATTGTTTTTTTTTGGTTGTATTTTCCCCCTCCCCCCCTGAGTCTCATTTCAAACAGAATAAATGCCATTATATTGTGAATACCTCAGGATTTTTTTGGAGAAAAAAAATAATAAAACACTTAAAAATCAAATAAATAAATAAAACTCATAAAAAGGTGGTGTGTCATGGTTGTATTTTTTTTTCCTTTTCATAAAGGTTGCATCGAACAGAAAACATGACGTCAACAAAGCTCCACCAGAGCCACAAATGACATTATACAACTGTTTGTACAACCTTGTAACAAGTAAACTTAACTTCATGTGTAATATCTAAGACTATATTTAATATTCATAAGTTTCACTTCATATTTTTGCTTTCCACAGGTACATATATAAAAATGGCTGCCAAAACTAAAAATGGAAGCATGCCGCTCAAAAATGCTGCACTTCAACTCGTAGTTGTCAGTTTTGGCCACAGTGAGGTGCACTATTCGTCCAGTGTTGGTGTAACAGAGCCAGACAAAAGAGAAAAGTCTGAGAAATGTCAAATCCCTACATGAGAGCCTGCTTAAAATTTTTTTTCAAAACTTCTGCCACTGTTTCTAATAATAAAGTACTTTTGTGGCACCGCAGGTGAGATGATGAAGTGGATCTGGACAAGCAATACTGTGTTTTTGAGTGAGAGGAACTGGACTTCTGCTTTTCTCATTCATCTGAAATAATTCTTGACACTGTAGATAAAATCAGCCCTCTATCCACCAATCACTGGCAGGCCGATGTGCTCAAACACGTCAGAATAAACTCGCAGTCCTGTCCGCACTTTCCCCCCCACTGTGAAATTTACCACAATTTCCTTGCATGACTTGACACGACTCTGCTTTTGCTCCTCGTTCAAACACAACAGCAGATGATACGTATATATTTTTACTGGGTTGACTAACTTGAAATACTTTCTTTTTACTGGTGGGAGTGTTAGAGCAAATACACTGTTGGTGTGTGTATTAAATAAATATGACTGTGATCATCTTACACTGAGGCCATTATGGGGCATGTGAGACAGTTTGCCTGTCCTGAAGCAAGCTGTAGGAGGCTGCCACTAATGAAGTGTTGTAACAACAGACTGTGCCCTGCGGCTGCAGAAAAGAACCAACAGGGTGACAATTGAGTGAAAAAACAAAAGTAGCTGTATAGGAAGATGTGTCTTTAATATTTTATACATTCAGTGTACAGGGGTACTGGTAAAAGATAGGCGAGATAGTTGGATCAAAAGTGGTAGAAGGGGGAAGTTACTTTGTGATTGCAGAAGCTGAAGTGTGGATTTAACTGATAAGGCTTTTGTATCTGAAGCAGGATGGGTGAACCGTTAAATGACTGGTTCAAAACAATACTCACATACCCATGTGTACACTGAAAGCACTATAGTTTGTCATCATCACTACTCCACCACACACAAGGTAGAGGTTATTGTCATTCTCTACATATACAACATTCAGTGTATTACAGGAATACTGCTCCCAAAAAGTTTCATTGTAAGTCAAAATCCAGTCCTCACGTTCTGTGTAAAAATGCATTCAAGTTAAGCAGAAGTTAACATGATGCTTCAGCTGTCTTGAGTTATACAAATTAAATTGGTTATTTTCCAAAGTTGCAGCGTTTGTAGGACATCCTTTTTCTGTGTCTCCTCATTGACTGTTTCCTTTCCAGCGAAGGAATAGATTGTAATTTTGGAAGATACCTGCTAGCTGAACTTTGGAATAAAATATTTGCACAGAAAGAACTGATAACTGAAACTGCTGATGGACTGTAATGGCAATTGAAGACATATTGATGTATTGACAATTTCAATGATTTATGTAACCCCTGGACTCAGAGTGACTCAGGTGGTGATGTGGAAGGAAGAAACAAGACATCTCGTCAAATTGTCCTGTCCAGACCTCAGTGATAACGTGTGAGATGAGATAATGCTGGCCCACGAGTTAAGATAAATAACGCACTCCCTGAGACATCCGGACTGTGAGTCGCTGTGAGTCCATCTGCAGATGATTGAATAAATCCGCAGAAAGACAAATGTTTACTTCAAGTTATTTGAACAAAACTCCCACCACAGGACAGTAAGAATTACTAAAGTGGCCTGCACTGCTTTCAATGTATTGTTTTAAGACAGTCTTATAAAAATGCTGCCTCTGAAACAAGCAGCTGTACCAGCACTAGGACTGAATCAACATGCATCTAAAGTTCATATTGTTTTATGGAATTGCTTCCAATGAAGCCCAGTCATAAAACAAAGAGTATCCTTGCACAGTTTCATTCAAGCTGCCACATGCCAGGCCATCTTTGATGTGTGACAGATTTGAAACAACAGGAGGAGCTGGGCTCAGAATAATGCAGGGTTTACACACAATAGACCACACCTACCTCCACCTCTCTGCTCTGCAGCCTTCTCTCTTTCTGGAACCCTTTTTTCTCTTTCTATCTCTTTCTCCCCACTCTCTGACCATATATGGTAGGAAATTAAACTTAAAGCTCATTGGTGGATGGGAGACGAAGTGCAGGTGGACAATTCCCCTTGTTTGGGATATGTTGTGGTGACACACTAACACGTATTTGAATATTTTGTTGTCAAGTAAATAAAGGTTAGTCTTTAATTTGTTTTTCAGGGAGGCTATGATAACAGCAAACAAGTGCAAAGATGTTATTGCACTGTATTTACAGGCTTACATTGGACCCATTGACTTCTCACTAAAACCATTAAAACATAAACACATATGGTGAGACGCCATGTTGCAGTTTTACATGTTGGTTTACCCTCTTTACATTCCTCTCTCCACAGCCAGTTGTGGCTCCAGTTGCAGGTACCGACGGGAATCTGCATTCCTACACACACACACACACACACACACACACACACACACACACACACACACACACACACACACACACACACACACACACACACTATACTACCAACACTATCTGACCAGAGGGCTGTTTCACAAAACAAAGATAGTTAAGCCGGGATTTTCCAGATATCTTGGAATTAAGTCTTGGTTTCACGAAAGCTGTAACACATAAGTTACCATGGCGATTTATTCTGTGCCGCTAGCCTGCTCCAGACCAGGCTTACAGCCAGGCTTAGTTAAACCAATGTGTTTTGCATATTTTTCATTAGCCTGTATTAAAATAGCAGTTTGTGTTTATAAGGTTTCATAATTGGAGAAGACGCCTGCACCATACTTTGCACACAACGAGCATCAGCGGGTAGGGTTACGTGGAATGGAAGCACGTGTAAAGAAAAATTATAAATAAAAGAAAAAGTAACTCGGGTACAGTAATAAACCAGCGTTAAGAAAGTGTGGCAGCCAACAGTGGACCGACTGAATGTGTGAGTAGCTAAAAATATCACTGCTCTTAAATGAAACTGTCATAATTGTAATGTTATATTGAGCCTTAAAAGTGTATGGCACACGCACTATATAGGAGATACATATAGGCCTATACAATTTTCATTAGGTTTCATAATTGTATAATACTCCCAAATTACAACAAGGGAGAGGACACCACAATGTTTTTTGACCTGTTTTTTTTCTCCCTGGGATCATCTGCTACAGCTTGGGAGAGAAAACAATGATTAATACATTATGCTACAGTCATGCTTACACTGTGGATTTCTTTTTTTTTTTAATATTATGTGCATTTTTTCATCATAAACCTTATTTAAACACAGTGAGTAACAGCGAATAAAGTATGCTTCACACGTCTTTAATGGGTTTCAGCATCAATGAATCTGTGATTCGTGTGGTCTCTTGAAGAAAGCTGTAGACGCTCATTTATCTGAATTACTTACACCTGGCTTGACATAGTCGCACCTTCTGAGCCTGGTTTGACCTTTGTGAAACTGATAAAGCCAGGATGCGCTGATCACACTAAGTCAAGCCTAGCTTTATCTCTTATCCTGGATTTCTAATTTCTGCTTTTGTGAAACAGACCCCTGATGCTCGGATCACACAGCAGATAATCAGAGACTCTCTTCCTACAGTAACCATGTCTCAACATATACACACTACATAAACACTTTCCCTCCTTCTGTGTGTAACTTACAGTAGGTTAGGCGGTTCATGTTTGCATTTTCATTTAATTGACAATGAGCTCCTCAATCAAAGATGATTTTAAATACACCTACTAAAAAAATTAGAAAATCAATTTGTGGCGGTTGATAATTATCCAAATTATAGGCTAATGATGAGAAACTCTGCTTCACCCCCAAACAAATCGTCTCTCCCGACTTTTTAACTAACATTACATTCAACAGCAGCAAGGAGTGTCTTATGAAGTGCATAGCCTAGGCCTAACGTTTCTTAAAACCACCGGCTGAAATAAAAAATAAAGCAAGTAAATCCCGACTTTTAAACAGCGGTCTGCACATGTAGCCTATATTATCAGCGGACATGAACAACATAAAGTCCGGCGCCGGTGAGCTGCCGCACAGTCGTGGATTCACGTCAAGGATGGTGCGTTCAGTAACGAGTAACGCAGAGTTACTTGCCTTCGTTAGTAGTCATAATATTACTGTTTTAGAAAAGCAATTAGTTACATTACTAGTTACTGTGGAAAATACCTAATATTATTACAGCAACGCGTTACTGCCCAATACTGTAGGACTAGTCCAGTCTATAAAATGTCAGAACATACTCAAAATTATCAAGAGCCTGAGGTGCGTCTTCAAATTGCTTGTTTTATACTACCAAACCAACAAAATCAAAGGAAATTTAACTTCAATTTATAAAACAGAGAGCAATAGCAAATCCTCACATCTGAGAAGCTGTACACAATCATTTAGGTTTATAAATGACCTAAACTATTAATCGATGAAAATTGTTGCCGTTTGTTCCAGCGCTAATAAAATGCATTTCTTTTCCTATGCATTACTATTTGTGACTGCCATCTTCTGTATAAGTATCTTAAGGGACGTAACAGTGAGCCCGGTCCATCCTGCACAATAATAAACCTTATGCTGCCGTCAGTGCACACAATGAGACATATCTAACAAAGGGATGACAGCATTTCCTGGACTACACGGCTCACAAATACACAACGCGCCCCATCTCCTCTTATCCTGCGCTTCCTCCTTTTTTAAAGTAGCAAATGAACAAAACACTGCATTTAGTCTTTCTAGAGTCTT